GGCGGGCGGCGCGCGTGGCGGCGGCGCGCGCCGCGCGGCCCCACGTGCTGCTGCTGGACGCCGGCGACCAGTACCAGGGCACCGTGTGGTTCTCCCGCTTCAAGGGGCGCGAGGCGGCCCACTTCATGAACCTGCTGCGCTACGACGCCATGGTACCGCGGGGCGCCGTGGGCGCTGCTCGCGTGGGTGGGGAGCGGGGCCCGGGAGGCGGGAAGCGGGGTGCTCGGGAAGGGGCGCCCCGCACCGCGGCGGGGGCAGGAGGCGCCCGTGGAGCCGAGCAGCCCCTAGGGAAGGAGCGGGGCGCGGAGCGGCGGGATGCAGGGCCGCGGATGGGAGCGCGCGGGGCTCGGAGCCCGGCGGGGAGGCAGCGCTGCTCGGGGCTCCGCTGCTCGCGGGGCGGAGGGGAGGTTTGCCCTGGTGTGGGTTGTTGTTTCTGCCAGTTGCCCTCCTGGCACCCTGTTCGTGTTCCCTTCCCCGAGGCTGGGGTTCCCGTTCCCCTGGAGCTGGGGTTCCCGTTCTCCCGGGGCTGGGATTCCCGTTCCCCTGGAGCTGGGGTTCCCGTTCTCCCGGGGCTGGGGTTCCCGTTCCCCTGGAGCTGGGGTTCCCATTCTCCCGGAGCTGGGCGATGCCAGGGTCTGTACGCAGGAGGACGTAAAGGCTGGTGCCCCAGCTCCCATAGCAGGGGACCAAACCAGCGTCTCTGCACGGGAGCCCTTGGAGCTGCTGCCAGGGCTGCCTCTGCTCCCACTCTTCTCTGCTGAGTGCTCAGGGGAAGGGAGAAGATGTGGGGCTCAGAGTGCTCTGAGGCTGCACTAATATATACATTAAAAAAACACAGTGCCTATTTTGCTTGTATGCAGCACCAGGGAAGGGATTAAAGGCGTGTTTGAGTCTGACCCCGTAGTTACCCTTTGCCGGTGACAGCCCGAGTGCCAGAGCTGGCAGCTTGTCCGATCAGCTCACGTCCTCGCTCTTCATCCATCTGTTCCGCCCTAGAAAAGGCTGCGGTTTCTTTTTCCGTCTAGAAATATCTTCCCCTGTTTTCCCCCCGTCCCAGAACCGTTTCGGGAGGGAAGGTGTTGGTTGCCCCACTGCGTCTTCCCAGGCTGAGCCCCACTCTGTGCCCCACAGGCCCGTGGCAGATGCTGCTGTTTGCAAGCCCCAAAGGACAGTTTCCTAACCCAGACCTTAACAAGGACCTTCCTCGCGGTGATGATGGGCAGCGGTGTGTGCGGTCGGGATTTGCCCTTACCAAGTGCTGGGGCACCTGTGGGCTCCACAGCTCAGATAGAGCCCGAGGGGATTTTTCCCACCTTCCTTCCCCAAGCTTGCTGCTGGCTGCCGGTATCATCCTCGCCCTTGCCCATTTGGTGGGTCTCTGGGCAAGCCAGGAGCTTGATGCAGTTTCTGATCATATCACAAGAAAAAACCATTCTAAACAAAATTAGCAGTGGGGTCAGAGGGGTGGAGGGAGGCAAGTGCCATGCTGGAGAAGGGCGAGCTCGTGTTTCTTTAAGCAGATTTGGGAAGTCTTCTGCAGGGCAGAAAGGGGCGAGGATTACTAAGCTGGTTGGAAGCAGGTAATAGCATAAGTATTACAGGCAACACGAAGGCAGGAAAAGTCATAAAAGTCATAAAAGGAGGAGGCAAGAGAAGGCAGGAGAGCCACGGGAGGATTTAGAGCAGCCTGGCTGTGTTACCAGGTACTTATTCCACAAGTGGGATAAATTTCCCTTTCAGGTTTGCCATTGTCTCATTGGTGTCCTTCATCATCTCAAACCTTATACACAGCAAGGTAGCGGCCTCCAAATCTTCTTGCCAGCACCATTGTTTTTGAGTGTGATTAATAACAAATTCCACATTAAATGCTGCAAAGGCAGTAATTGGAGTGATGTCAGAAGTTCCATTTTTTACTGCTAAGTTGCATCCTTGTGTGAAATTATATCCTGTTTTTTTGTTGTTTTTTCTTTTTTTTTTTTTTTTAATAATATATATATTTCAGCCTGGTATCTTATGAAAGTGAGGATTTATGTGGTCACATGCCATGTGACTGTGTGTTCTTTTTATTCCTCCTTGTTACCTTTCCTAATATTAGCCAATAGATTGAATTTGTTGAAAGGGTATCACAAAAAAAGCCAAGTCCCTAAAAGCTTTATGCGTAGGGATGGTTTGGCAGGTCCACACCATCGTCCTCAGAGGAAGAGCTGCATCAAAAATACGACTTAGGCACAAGTATTATTAGGCACAAGTGATTTCTCATCCATTAGAGACTTTATAGTCACTCGTACCATGGGAAAAGTTTTGATGAAGTTTGTATCTTAATGGACATGAAATGACCAAATATAAGCTACAAAGCCAAGAGAAACAAAGTTTCTCATGTGGGTTTATTTTATATTTTTTATCGCAAGCAGCTAATGGCATCTAAGTACAATTTAAATTCTTACTTTATTTGCAACCAGTTATTTTGGCCTTCAGTTGCATATTTAGGATAACAGAAGGCCTGTGCATCAGCCAAAGGGAACGACTTGTTACGACTTTGCGAAGCTCTATCCATCTCTGGCTGACTCTTCCGAACATCACTCGACTTAGGCTTGATTCCCTTTCTGCTCTTTCTTTTATAGTAGATTAGACTGCAGTTATAATACAGTGAAACTCAGAAAAGAGATGGCATCCTGTCATGCAAAGTCAGGATTTTTTCTGAGAGTCAGCTATTGTGAAGAGTGCTGCAGCACTGAGAACATGTTGGCTCGTTCATGAGAGCATTAGATGCATTCCCAGACGCATCAGCTGAATAGAGTGGAGAGGTATGTGTGTCTTTTCAGACCACGGGTACAGCTTTCCCAGTCAGTGGTCAGGGTGAAATTGTAGGTGCACTTTGCCTGGTGGAGCTGGCCCGTTGACTTCAGGATCCTTTTCACGCACAGTTCCAGTCACCTGCAAGCTTGTTACATTATCTTCCAGACTACACTACTAGGCTGTTTCCAAAAATACATTTTTGTTTTTCTTTCCTAACACTCAAAGGCGTTACAGGGTTCTTCTGTACATTAAACTCCTGCAGAGTGGTCCTCTGTGGGGATTTCACTGATTATTGCCAAGTTGGGGAGCATGGGGTAAATCGGGCTGAGCATGACAAAGGGTGCACAGGAGAAAAGCAAATCATCCTTTTTCAAGGTAATGCCATTTTTTGTTGTTGTTCTCCAACTTAGGACAACTAAATATTCTCCTCTTGTTAGTATTGCCTTGATAATGAAAAAAAAACCCTGCTCTATACATAATATATGAATACAAATACTTGTTTAGGTAAGTTTTCAGTTTTGAATATTCACATCTCTGTTGGTATGTGAGAGAGTATAAATAGCAAATAGCTAAGCCTTGAAAACAAACAAACAAAAACCCACTTCTGTGTTTGTGTGACACAGGAATGCTCTGTCTTAGCAAGGTAGGATGTTCTTGCCTAGAATATAAACCGTATATTCTCAAGCCCATCTTTTATGTCATGTGATTATGCTGATTATCTGAGGCAGGGTCACGTTTTCTTCTTGTTTTTCACAGGCTTTGGGGAACCATGAGTTTGATGAAGGTGTGAGTGGATTGTTGGATCCTCTGCTTAAAAATGTTAATTTTACCATCCTGAGTGCAAACATTAAGGCAAAAACTCCATTAGGAAATGAAATGATGAAGTATGTTCATCCTTTTAAAATAGTGCGTTTTGGCTCGGAAGCAGTAGGAATTGTTGGCTATACTACAAAGGAAACTTCTTTTCTTTCAAATCCAGGTATGCTTTTTATCATATAAGTTTACTGCATCCTTTATTACTAGTTTATTAGTAGCGTACCTGTTTGAATCCAAATACGATGAACACTTCGGTTGGGAAGTTTATATTGTGGATTTATTCAGCCTGATTTTGAACTGATGAATGCCCTGTTACATTAAAGACCTTTTCATACCAAGTAATTCAGATCACCGAATTATCTAAGGTCTATGAAGCCGTAGAGAAGTAGGAAGCTTATTGTGTTCTTGCTTTTTCTGCTTTACTCCTTTATTGAAATTCTTTTCTATAACCTTTTATATTTTATTTATCCATTTGAAAAGTTAAATTGAAGGGCAGCTTGTCTTGAGAGTGAAATGTGTTTAAACTAAGACATTTCCAAGTGCAATGAAAACTTGCTCTTGGATATCTTCAAGTAAAAGCAAGGAGAGCTTCATGTGCACTTTTGAAACAGAAATTGCCCAATATGTTTTTGGTTTCTCACACATTTCCAGAAATTTCACTACAGAAAGAACACCCATCCTGCTTTTACCACAATTGCTTCATTCATGAATAAAATTAGAACTGATGAACTTCTCCATGCCTGACTATTAAGTTATTCCAACATTTTTTTTTTTAATTGAACGGTCTACTAGAATGAGAAGCACATTTAAATCATCTGTAGGAGATGTGAGTCATTGCATGCTCAGCATTCACTCCTCCTCTGGCTTAATCCAACTTTTTCCTGGATTTTGCAGATCTCTGAGAGGACCTGGGAAGCCCTAAGCATTATTTTTTAAAATTTTCCACACTGAAAAAGGACTTCATATTATTTTTTTTTTGTCTACTAGTCAGTAAAAAGGAAATAATGCATAGATCTCTTGAAAAAAATCATTTTTTTTAAGAAGCATAATACAAAACTTCCTACTGTGACACAATTTAGACATACTACATGGGGATTAAACCAGGAAGTGGACATCTGAGGTTAAAGCAAACTTTTGTATCTGACTCTTATTCTGTAGTGCTGTGCTTTGGTAGTTTCTTTTTTTTCCTCGATGAATAATAAGAAGAAAAATGATCTATATTTTGTGTAGGCAACAGGGCTATAGATTATTACCTGTGCTTGAGGCCATGCAGGCAAATACTGTGCAACACCAAGCTGAGTTTGAAAGGTGGGCACAGAGCTGCTATTGTCCCACATTGTTCCTCACCAATTAGAAATAAAGTTGTTCTTCCAAAATGTGTTGTTTCAGTCAAGTCATCAAATTTACTTTCTTGCAGCTAAAGGAAGCCTAAATAGTGTTAGAATGGTCCTCTGAAGCATTTAAATGCAAAGCATTTCTAGAAACAGCTAAGCATTATGCTCACTGCCTCAATATGCTGTGCTGTGGTTCCGCAGACTGCTGCTAGGGGAAAAAATACTATTAGGAGAGAAAGCTGCCAGAAATTGAAATTCAATGTCTTTGAGAAACAGGCAGCAAAGTACTAAGCCATATACAGCAATATTTTTGACGTTTCTTATTTAGAAGAGAATTATGGAATTACTCGTTCAGTGTCATTCACTGCATGGAGGCTCAAGATAATACACAATTATCTTGGGATACCCTCCCGTTGGGTCACGAGGTTTGGATTGGACCCCCTTGCTTTCCAGGCTCCTTCTGAGACGAGTCTGGGTGCGGCTGGATCCAATCCTAGTCCCAGACCTGGGCAACAGTTTATGACTAAGGGTTTCTGTGCACAGTTACAACGTAAAGTTAAAGAGAGCGCGCTATGTTCACTTACCACAAATCTGTCATGGAAAGGGGGGGTCTCTCAACCTCGAGGAGTAACCTTGAGAGGCGTCCCTGCCCAAGGGGAGATCCTGCAGTGCAGGCCGCAGCCGTGTCAGGAGAGCTCAAAGGGCTCTCAGGCTGTCCGCGTATTTATAGGATAAGATGATTGACTTAYAGTCATTCTTTCATTTCAGAGGACCATTGGCTAGTGTATTAGCCTTACCTCCCCATTGGGATGCAGCCTTCAGGAATGTTACGTTGAGTCTAAGTGGAGGAAGAAATCAGGATGGTGGCGCCTGCCAGGATTAGATAAATCGCTGGTGGTTAGCAACTGAACAGGGCTGCATGTAAGGTACAGGCCAGGCTGAGCTGGGAAAGGAGCATATCCATCACACTCAGTCCCCTGAAAAGATGAAGTTTGATAAAGGGCTGAAAAGGTTTGATAAAGGGCTACCCATTTCAAATCTGGTTAAGGTGTTGATGCCGTATGACGTGGCGCAGAGAGGGTGAGGAGAAGAGATAAGAGCCCCAAGGCTGGACGCTCTTCTCGAGGGCGACGTGGGTGCCAGTGAGCCCCTGGGATAAGGTCACTGCACGGCTTGTTCTGAAGGGTTTGGCACGGAGCGTCCCTCCGGCAGTAATGGAACTGCTCAAGGGGTGTGGTGGCCGAGGGATTTATGTAACCCTCTTTTATCTCTTTGTTTTTCAGTGAAGTCGTTTCCTCTTCCTTTCCTGAGACACTTATGCATTGGGTTATGAATTGGCTTGGCTCTTCCCTATGTTATAAATTAATGTAAATCTTTTGACCGAAAGACACATTAGAAAACTGACTGCAAACTCTCTGAAGGAAAGAGAAGAATTAGGTACAAGGGAAATTGGTAGAAAGGTGATTTGGAGGTTTAACCTGGAAAATACAGGATTACAGTTTGACCTGTTCTTTAACTCTACATTAAAACTTTGTCCAAAAAAAACCCAGCCTCTTACATAGCAAGGCCTTTTGTGCAACTCAGGGTTCTGTGACCAGGATAAAAGTATTTGTTTATCTTGTGTTCTTGTAGCTCTTTGTCATGTTAAAATAATTTCAGCAGCCACATAAACATTTCAGAAGGATTGCGAGTTTCCCAACATTGTATTCAGGAAAGGGTTTTTCTTTTCTAGACTTCCCGTTCTTAATGTGCTCATTTTGGGGCAATATCTCAATTGCCCACTGTGCTGTCACTTGGTGTTATTGATAGTGGTTCATATTAGGCGAGATAATCTTGCATTAAAGGGCAATTCAGGCTTTAGTGCAGGGCTTTGGAGAAGTTTAAAGCCTCAGAAGACAAAATGCAAGTGAGAAGAGAAAATGAGGTATCTCAAAGAAATAGATATTGAGAGAGAAAAAAACCAAACGTTTATACCCGAACATTCACTGACATATTTATTTTCCTCTCTTTAGCTGAATAATATTGGAAAAAAAAAGTGATCTTACAGTTGATATCATTTGATTTTTTTTCCACAGAATTTGTTGAGTATAGGGAAGTATATACAGTTCAGTGCCAAAACATTTATTTTTTTTCCGTCTAAACACAGAAGTACTCTTGAAAGACAGGAAAATACCACATCAGGTCAGTTTGAACCACTTCTCACTAAGGACATATGAAAATCAGTGACATTCAAAATTGCATTAGTTACATAAAATAACACCCAATATCATCTAGCATTTGTTGGAAAAACTAGTAATTAAGTAATTTAAATTAAAACAGTAATTGTGATACGGAACAAGTATTAATAAATAACATCTTATGTTATTTTTGATTGGTTGTTTTTTAGGGAATGATGTAATCTTTGAAGATGAAGTTGAAGCAGTGCAACTTCAAGTGAATAAACTTACTGCTATGGGAATTAACAAAATAATTGCACTAGGACACTCTGGTTTTACTGTGGACAAAACCATTGCCCAAAAAGTGAAAGGAGTGGATGTGGTAATCGGAGGACATACAAACACGTTTCTCTACACAGGTATTTTACTTCTTATTGAAATGCTGCTGCTAAAGCAAAGTTGAAGCTGAAATTTTCTTTTTAAACTTGGAGGACTTTCACAAATACAGTTCACTTCTGCTTAAGCCAGGCCAGGTTTGTAATTGATAACTTCAGTGGAATAAACTGATTTAAATCATTTTGTGAGCAACAGGTGCCCTAACTCACTGAAATGTTCCTTAGCCCTGTAGATGTTCAGGCACAAAGATAACTTCAGCAGTAATTTGTCAGTATTATGGTTCATTTTTCAAGCTTACAGATTTGCAGAACTAAACAAAATGTTTACCCTAGTTTTCTCTATATTTTGTAGCTTCTCTTATTTATCTCTGCCTTTATTCTTCTTTTCTTTAGAGATATCCTACTTTCACCTAATCTTCTTTCAGCATCAAGAGATGCAGTATTATAAACGTTTCATTTCTTTGGCCATAGGGCTATTTTAGGCAGAGCCTGTAATCTGCACTCACTTATTCTCCGGAGCTACTGCCTTCCCTTGTGCCAGCATGGAAGGGCACAAGTAAAAGAAAAGCTTTTGTTTGCTTGTGCCACGTTAAATTTAGCGGAAACTCCATTAGCTGACCCAAATATAACAGGAACTTTCCATAATTTTCAGCAAATTCACAGCTGCACCACTAGGTAGCCTAGGAACTTAGAAGGGTTTTGTCCATTTTGTCCTCTCCTCTTCCTACGACTTCCTACGTTGCTCAGGCTTTTACCTCATGTTTACTATTGAACTTACAGACTCTCACCTTTTCCTATCCCACTTGTCACAGAGAAACAACTGTGCCCTACAGCTGTGTATTAAATAGAATATCTCATGGATCTATCCTTAAGGAAGAGCTTCAAACAATAGAAAAGACCTTCAAGATGATCAAGGTTTAGGATTTAACCTACAAGTTAGTGGGTGGAAATCATTCAGCATTGGAGTGGAGTAGAAGGGTGGACAGATGGGAACAAACCAATAGGCTGGCAGCCGAGTAGTTTATACACTAGGAAAGAAAGATTGCTGGAGGAAAATCCCTAAGACAAATGCACCAAATATGTGTATCCACTGCTTTAGATAAAAATACTCTTTGACCAAATGTGGTTGGAGTCTATAAAGTGTTATTCCAAATATCAGGAAGCACTTCTTGATCTCTCCAGAAGCACCATGAGTGCATCTGTGAATTCCATCCTGTGTCAAAAGAAAGCTCTAGATCAAAGAGCACGAAGTATCCACATGTGTTAGAAGTTAGGGGTGGGATTAAGCTGTGGAGCACCATCTTATTTGGAGCACCTGAGTCTATGTGCCTATGTGCTTTGGGCTTTTAAACCCTTGGGAGAACAATTCAGCTCAGTGCATGTGGATATGTCTTGTATAGTCAGCTCAATCAGCTGCTGTTGTGGGAAGTGTAGTCTAGTCTAGTCTAGTGCTCACAGATACCTCCATGGAGCTGTCTTACTAATAGGGCTTTGGGCTGGAACTAGTCCAATCTATCTGCCTCTCAGATACGTTGGAGAATGGCAGGTGTCTACATATTGTGGCAGATGGTGACTTGGCTGTGTGCAAGCAAGCAAAGTTTTTAACTTGATTCCATTAGTATTGATAGTTTTAGGTTAAGTTACCCTAGTTTCTGTATTTCATCAGTAAGGATGTTCTGGGTATGTAATGTGCTGGCTAGAACAGAGTGAGAAACTAGGAAAGTATTACTGTTTCTTCAGTTACTCACTCTTAATCTACACATTTGTAATGAACAGGTTCTCGTGCTTTAATTGTGTGTTTGAATTCTAGACTCTTCTAGGGATAAGATGCACTGAAACAACTTTTCCTTTCAGAGGAACCATATCTGTCTTATAGAATAATGTTATGGTGATAATTTATCCTGAAAAAAATCATTATCAGGAAATTATCTCTAGAAAACAGGAAATTAGTCATGTACTGGCCAAGCTCTTTGGCCCTGCACTGATAATATAAACTGAAGGGAAAGATAGAAAACATGACTCTGTCCTGTTCAGTTAAGGACTACACTAACATGACAGATCAAAGCCAATTCCTTCTGCAGCCCCCAAAACCTCAAATCACTTTGCGTTTACAATCCTGAAGAGCACTCATGAGCTGCAGGGTTTCCTCAGCTCTCCCCAAGTGTGTGTCAATGATGGGCCTGTGCACTGCTGAGAAACCAGCAGTGCCTCTTCTGGTGCAGAAGAGGAGTTAGAGATAACTATAGGTCATGCTAGAGTTCTAGGAGGAAAATTTATCATGCTTAATATCCTGGATTTAATGTCCTGTAAGCCAGGAAAGCAATTGTTCTGTGAGCAGTGGCATTGAAGAAACTGGCTTTCCTTCACATCCCTTTTCCACAGCCATAGGGTGCCCCAGCTCTTGGCACTGGGAGCAGGAGGATGGCGCATGGATGGGAAGCGCTTCAGGGTCCGGATTGAGCAGCAGCCCTCAGCGGGGATCTGCGAAGGGACACCCTGTGGTTTCGCCTGGCCTCTATTCGTGGGTGTCCCTTAGACCTGCCATTGAGAAACAGAAAAGAAACAACTTCAGACCTTGCTGACTGTGGTGTAGAAGTGCTGGTGGAAATAGCAGGGGTGCTAGTTACATCTGAGCCGCATATTAGCTCCAATAGATTGTGTGGTGGAGGAGCTGGAGGGCAGGCAGGGGCTGGGGGTGAGCAGTGCCCTCCCTGTGTGTGCCCCCTTTGTCCTTCTCCTCCGGGCAGCTTCCCAGATCCAGCGGGAGCCTCTGCTGGCAGAGAGGCATCCCTTGCTTTCATAGATCTGCTTCCAACTCCTATATCTGATCGGCCTCCAAACTTTGCAGTTTCCTGAACATTTGGAATCCATGGCTACCTCCATCTAACCCTAATGAAGTTTACTTTGCAGGGAGTTTACAGCCTGTCTGAAACTATGTGCTGAAAATCGCATCACTTGCAAATGCTTTTGTCCTAAGATGGTTGTAGAAAAAGCCAAGTTGGGTGTACGTGCAGATTACAGAATTTGCTTGTAGGGATTCTGATTACGTGTCATTAATAGAAGTAGTTTAGAGCTTTCATATGAAGAAGGCCTGTGTATGTTTCACCAACACCCTCGTTTTTCTGTCTGATAGAGAACACCACAGTGTGAAGGCCCCACTATCAGCTTTTCAGCCAGAGGCTCATTTCTATGCACGGCTTGAAGGTTTCAGTTAGAATAATGAGAACGAGAAGCTCCTTTGTTGCCCTTGTGGCATGACGGCAGGGAGAAGTTTGCTGTCACAACTTCAAAAACACCGTGGGGGTTATTACAGCTCTAGTTCCAAAAAAACAGTAACATCCTGTGCATTAACACAGCGGAGCAGTCAAATGCGTACTTGTTGCCTACTGCCCTTGTTAGCGCCTCGGTTTTGCAACCCGTTGATTTTTTTCCTTAAGGAAGAGCAGTGTTTGAAGTGTCACTCTGGTGGTCCCCTCCGCGGGAGCCCCTCTGACCGCGGTTGTCTCGCGCAGGCCGCCCGCCCTCCAGCGAGCAGCCGGCCGGCCCCTACCCCTTCATGGTGCAGGCCGACGACGGCCGCAGGGTGCCAGTCGTGCAGGCTTACGCCTACGGGAAGTATCTCGGCTTCCTAAACCTCCTCTTCGACGAGAAAGGAAACGTCATCGAAGCAGAGGGAAACCCCATCCTGCTGGACAGCAGCGTGCCTGAAGGTAAGTGGCACAGAAAGGTGGATCTGCCCGCGACACCCCAGTACAACTTCAGTGTTTGGATGTTGACCGTACGGTGCTGTGTTGCAGAAGGATCCAGCTTTCTTCTTGGGCACAATTTAAGTGTGTATTTTTTCCTACTTAAAGTCACTGATAGCTCAGATAATTCCATTTAGCAAGGTTTGTTTGAGGCAGACCTGTAATTTTGATTTAAAAGATTTTAAGGACTAACTTCCATTGCTGTGCCAGAGGCTGCACTGCTCAGAACAGAGTTCAGGGGAACTGTGTTGGGAAAGGCGGGATGTCTCAGAAATTCTGGAATACTCAGACAGTGTGCAAATGGGATCCACATTTGTTGTTTTAACCTGTGGAACATTTAAAGATCTGGAGGGAGGAAAATCTCTTACTTGCTGGTTTCATAGTGCTGGTTTCATAGTGCATAGTAGCTGTTAACCTACTTTCTTGTCTACAATGTATTTTCCTGGGGTTAATTCATTGCTTTTTTTCCATATTTTTTTCCTCTCTTATCCAGTGATTACTATATGAATCTCTGAGCTTTTATCAGACTTTTTAGATTCCACCAGAATATTAATAGAATAAATCCTTTAAAAATGATGTGTCTGTAGGCATTTTTATTTACTGTGTTATTCTTAGCGATCCATTAATAGAATGGGAATCCACTAATAGAATATTAATTCTATTAATTAATAGAATCCATTAATAGATCCATTAATAGAATATAAAGAGAGTTTTTATTCTCTCTGAGGTGAGTAAATGTAAAAATTCAGATACGCAGGCACTCTTATGCATTGCTCTTGTACTGACAAAGTTACATGCCAGATTGCTCAGATTGCATAAAACTACCGGCTGCTGTTGTAACAGCTGTGATGTTATCTGTCTGCGTACAGAGTTATCTTCTCTTGTATCTGTGTTTTTTTTGTTTTGTTTTGTTTTTTCTCCCCTCAAGTTTTGCACCTGGTGGACAGCTGTGCAGATATAGTTAATTCTTGTAAGAGACTTAGAGATTCTTTCTTGTTGTTTATATTTGAGCTGGTATTAATTTTAATGCTGTGTAAGGTGGGAGGAAGCTATAGCAGAATAACAGAGATTATAACAAACTAACCCCGCTAAACCCAGCTAATATATATATTAAAGATTCTTGATTAGAAACTCTTTATCTGTTAAGGGAGGTGCTAGAAACCCCATAAAACATTTTTGAGCCTTGAAGAGCAGGTTTTCCCTGAGCTTTATATGCACTGAGGTATCATTAATACAACATCCCTGTCATGCTCAATGTACATATCTCTGATTGGTAGATGAGCACATTAAAGAAGAAGTGGAAAAATGGAGGAAGAACCTGGGAAATTATTCCGAGGAAATTGGAAAAACCAGCGTTTACCTGAACGGCACGAGCCAAGCCTGCCGCTTCCAGGAGTGCAACTTGGGAAACCTGCTTTGCGACGCCGCGGTGAGAAGTGATTATTATATCTAAGCACTACCCTAGAGCCGTCACAAAAACAGTATCCTGGGCTCTGAACTGTCCGTGTGTTGGTCCCGTGCTGCTCTCCATCACAGTAGGACCTCAGTGTCTTCTCTAATGAGAAGTGAGACTGTGAGGGACTTTGTGGGATTTCATGGAGTGGTTTATTCTTGGCATATATCATCCTATGGAGAAGTGTTGCTCAGCGCTGGGTCAGCAAGGTGCTGTGGCTGCAGGTTTGACAGACACAGTGGTCTGATTGGAGAGCTTGTTTCTCGGGGAAGAAGAGAGTTTGGGTTCTTCTTGCCCGCTCTGCTGCCAGTCCTCTGCTCACAGCTCTAGCCCTGTGCTCAATCATTGCTCCCTGGGCTCTGGTGTGACCTTTTGTAACTCATTAACCTAGGGAAAAAATGCAGTTTTCTGCTGTTTACTGATAGTGCCAGTTTAAGCAAAGGAGGGAGAAAGAGCCCACAGCAAAGAGCAAGACTCCCTCTCCCGACTTTAGAGCACGAGCTCTGCTTCCCATGCAGCTGCTGCTCAGTGGCTCTTGATGAGAGTGTCCGTAGCCCCTGCAACAGCCACTGTGGAGAACTCCCTTCCTTGGATTTCCGTGAAACACAGCCAAGAAAAGAAGCCATGAGGTAGAAGATCTTATAGCCTGGTCAAGGCCTGACCTGCAGGCGACCACGCATCCCATCCTGGACCTGTCCCTGCCCCATGGAGTTGCTGCCCTGGCTGCGCCCAGTGCCTTGCTGCCTCACAGCCTGGTGGGACAGGGCAACACAGATGACTCCAGTGGTCTGGGTGACACCAGGAGCACCCTCTGCAAGAGGGAGCTGGCGCTTTTCCAACTGCAGTTAAAGTAATTCTACAGGTAAAAAAGCATCTTGGATTATTTTGCTCTTTCTTGATGGAGCTTGTTTGTTTTGGGCACACCAAGGAACAAAAAGTTCACTAATGCAACTGTTTTCAGAAAAGGTAATTCCTATAAATAGCCTGCATCATTCCCACAAAATCAGGTTCCAATTAGTAATCATGAGTTTTTCTTTGGAAATTTGCTGAAAAATGTTTTTGCTATAGTTGCTTTTACTGTAATTCTTAAGATAATGTTTAGTTCAAGGATAACTTCCAAATTAGATCAAGAGCTATACAGTTCTTCTGAAATTCCTTTTTTTTTCTTTCTTTCTTCTAGATTTCATTATACATTTACTGAAAAACATGTTCAAATACTTCGACACTTTTAAGCTTACAGGATTTTGCTTTTTTTATGCTCCAGAAGTTGGTAGATTTTCTTAATACCCATTTTTTTCTTGGGAGATCAAATTCTACTGAAGTGAAATAAATGCCTTTAGATGCAAGTTCTACATTTGCTTCTATGCTTTCCAGGATATTAAGGTGCCGTGACTTCACCATTTAGAGTTACGCTGGGAAATCTGGAGCTTTTAGCTCAGACTGAAATCAGCAAACACCCTTTTCCCCCCCAGTTCATTGATTAAATATGTTATGAGTGAATGGATCTGTCCTCAAGGAACAGCTCTGAACCTGGAAGTGCAGGATTTAGGCACCACGGAGTTAGTGGTCCACAGACCAAAGGACCCTCCATCCCAATGTCTTATCTCCAGGAGTGGCAGCACGGAGATGTCGAGGAAGGAGCACACATGGGCAGATGTTCTGCAGATGTTCCCATCGCCCAACAACTTCCAGCTTGCAGGCTTCCCAAGCCAGAAGCTGCATCTTGATAATTCCTGCCCCTGCTGGGAGGTCGCAAACTCGCCCTCTTTTGCCCCTTCAGCTCTCTCAGTGCCCTGTGACCAGGCGTCCCACTGCTGAACAGCAGACCTTGTTCTTCTCCTCCTTGCAGCCTCCCACTTCCTCGCTGCTCAGGAGCAGATCCTGCACTTCAACCCTTGATCCTTATCCACCTTCCTCACCACTCATTGCTTTTGTGGGTCTCTCGAATGCTCTCCTTCTATTGTCCCTTTTCCAGGAGGAACAGTCCTAGCCTTCCTTGTCATCCTGCACCCAAAGGCTCTTCTGTATCTTAGACCATCCTGATCAACCTGCTCTGCATCTTCTGGTTTTGTATAACTCTTGAGATGAGAGAATGCACTGGGTCTAATCTGGTCCCCACGTCGCCTTCCTGATTTTACAGATTTCTGTCACATCCTTCCTGTTGCTGTCTCTTTGTGAGACTGAAGTGTTTTAATTGCACCCATTTCTGTATGGAAGCTGGGCCATCCCATTACCCAGGTTTGCTTTCTTTGAACCTTTTCCTGTTCTACTGAAGTGTTTTTGAGAATGAGCACACAGGGATTTACTTAGCTGCATAATGATGGTTTCCATATTGTCACTGCTCCTTAGGCAAATTAAACTTTCAGGTTTGATCTTTTGTGGCAATTTTTATGTTCCTTTGCACTTCTTTGTAGCTTCCTAAGAGCATTCCAAAGACTCAAGATGAGTCTCAAAGAAGCTGAAAATCTTAATGCCCTGCAATGCAGAGCAGGAGCTTGGTGGTTTTGTGCACTCGCCTATAAGCTGTCGTATATGCCTGTCTATAAGGTCCTTTGCACCTCCTGATTCCCCACATATGCTCAGATCATTGGTGGTCTTCACAGTACTGTAATTAAAAGATCATCTATTTTGCCTGGTAATGTCATATGTATAGGGCAGGGGAGGCTTCTAGAGTTCCTCACAGGAGAAAAAAAAGCAAATATTTTTGTTAAAGTTTTTTTTTTAAAAAAGGTGAAAAATATTTGCTTTTTACTGTGTTTTGGCTTATCTTTTATAACTCTCTATTCTACAATGATGTTACAGTTAACATCAAAAGGGTATGGACATGGGGTAATGGGTGTAAGTTGAAACACAGGAAGTTTCATCTCCATGTGAGGAGGAACTTCCTTCCTGTGAGGGTGCCAGAGCCCTGGCACAGGCTGCCCAGGGAGGCTGTGGAGTCTCCTTCTCTGGAGCTCTTCCCAACCCACCTGGATGCCGCCCTGTGCCCCGTGCTCTCGGTGTCCCTGCTGGAGCAGGGGCTTGGACTGGATGATCTCTAGGGGTCCCTTCCAATCTCAACCCTTCTATGATCAAAGACTATGTAAAACCCTTCCATCCTGTGAAGTCTCAGATGGGGTAGATTTCCTAAGTGAGGACTAAAAATCTCTTTTTTGTTGTTGTTTGTTTTGGTAGCTTTATGAGAACGTCAGACATCCCAATGGGAAGGAGTGGAACCACGTTTCCATGTGCATCCTGAACGCGGGTGCGATCCGCTCAGCCATCGATGAGCAGAGCACTAATGGTTTGTAAAACTGCAAGCTCAGATACTGCTTTATTGGGGGAAAAAATGCAGTTATCTGGGGAGCTTCGACTCTGTGTTAGATGAGGGCTGGTTTTGATGGGATTTACGCAGCAGCTGGGAGCTGCTTCAGACTTTCTCAGCTGTTCTCCCATCATTAGTGTAGTTGCACTCAGGCTGACGTGCATAGCACTACAAGGATTGTTTGCACACATGGTACCTTCAAAAACATTGCATGTTGTACCTACAAAAACAGTGCATGTTTTCAACGAGCTTTCTCTTTCCATGCTCCCTCGGAATTAAGAAATATAGTGTATATTCTTGCCTCTCTTTTTATAAAGAGTAATATGTTGCTAAGGTTGTTAGAAGCATCCTGAAGTCTGTCATAACGTAAGTGAATTCTGAGTTTTCTGAATGCTATGGTTTATAATCAAAATAAACAAAACCTGAAAGCAAGCACTTTGTTTCACTTCAGCTAAACCTTTTCTGGGGATTCCATGAATAGAAAAGTTGCCTGATTTAGCAAGATCATCTCTTTTTCTTCATTGGGATTAGTGGTTGGTAATTTCTTTTAGTCAAGTTATTTGAATAGCAATACAAGCAGTTACGTGAAACTCAAATTCACAGAGGTTATGAAGTTGGATAATAGAACACAAGTGCTTTGATTGAGACATTGAGACAATATAAGTGACCCTCATCTTTACCAGCCCTCATTTTCTCACATTGCATTTTTCCATGTTCCTTATCAAATAACCCACCATGAAATGATCTTACAGGATCTTAAAGTTATATATATGTATATATATATTTTAAAAACTAACTCTCGCTCCCCAGGTAGCATCACGATGGAAGATTTGCTGTCCGTCTTGCCATTCGGAGGCCGTTTCGATGTGGTGACGTTAAAGGGCTCCACTCTGAAAGAAGCTTTCGAGCACAGTGTGCGCAGGCACGGGCGGGGAACCGGAGAGCTGCTCCAGGTCGGGGGTATGTTCCCTTCCTTCCTCTTCGCTTTCCCAGAACAACCAACAACCAGTAGCCCTTCCAAGGCAACTCTTGGCCTTGCTTGTATTTACACATGGAAGGCCACGTCCACAGCAGCAGTGAAGGAGGCAGCTCCTCCTTGGATGTCTTGTTCCTGTAGCCACGTGTGTCTGAAGACAACGCTGCTGTCTTAGGCCATGTGAGCCCTTTCATCCTTAGGGATGAACATTTAACATTAAAAACGCTGCATGTTCCTTGGAGCACAGCTCCCTAGGTATCGATCTGGATTGTGCAAGGCTGCAGTCATAGGTTTATGCCAGATATGGTGTGGATTTCACTGTTTATTTAGCAGGAAAAACCTTCCGTGACAGAGGTCAGGGCCTCTCCCGCTCCATGTGTGTGATGAGGGCACTGTCCCTGGAGATGGGGCCTGTAGAACCCAGCACCACATGCCAAGGACAGAGCCCACGTCCGACACGCTGGGCGAGCGTCCTCAGTAGCCAGTTACAACCTTCTGAGTTATCACCGAGATAAAATGAACAGTTAACAGGAAAGAGGGAGCGAGAAGAAAGTAGACGCCCTGGAGAGGGCACTGGAGAGGAGATTGGGAGGCAGGGAATGGGGGTCGGAAGGGCCTCAGAGCTGCTTCTGGAGCAGCTCTGGGGCTCACTGAGCTCCGGTCCTGGTGCTCCCTGGGTTTGGAAGGAGGAGGGGTCACAATGGGAAACGTGCAGGTGTGAATGCTGTTGTCATGACCAGAACCCCCAGGGTTCAGCCCTGGCCTAGCTTTGCTTTTCTATTTATTTATTTACTCGTTTTAAGAACCGTAGCTGTTATCCATAATAGCTGCTAGGTTAGGGGGACTGGCTTTGAAAGAGATCGTTTCAGCCTACAAAATAACAGAAAGAAAGCACAAGGCAAGAGGACAGAAATAAGGGGAGATTGTTTCCATCTGCAATGTCCTGATTCTAGCAATGACCAGAGATCCCTTTCTGCGGAGCTCCTGCCTCAGCTGGCTTCCTAGCTGATGAGATAAGTAACCGAGGTGAATATAGTGCTCCAGCAATTCATGTTAGTTCTTGTTTTTCTTGGATAAAAGTTGGGGAGAGATCAGACATTATCACTGAGTCACTGAGTAGTCACGGAGTGTTATCACTCAGAGAAATACAACTTGACAATCACAGAACCTAATGAGAGAATCACAGAAACTGCAGAGACTAAGATTACAGTATAGGCTGCTTCTAGTCCTGAGCATTCAACAGGTTCTGCTATAAAGCGGCGCCCAAACATGTGTTTTCCTAGGCATCCACGTGGTCTACGACCTCTCCAAAGCCCCAGGAAGCAGAGTTGTTAGCATAGACGTGCTCTGCACGGCCTGCAGAGTCCCAGCCTACGAACCACTGCAGATGGATCAAATTTACAACGTGACGCTCCCCTCCTATTTGCTGTTCGGTGGCGATGGCTACGAGATGCTTAAAGACAAGAATCTGGGGTACAGCAAAGGTGAGTGTGGGCACTCGCAGTGCGGCAGAGGGGCCATCCCTGCAAGATCTTCAGGCAGCGCTAGCCCTGGCTTTTCTTTTTAGCCAAAAGATTAAATTCGCTTCTTGTTTGAAGAAGTCTCTGGCAGCCTGGGACTGTGAGTTTTGATTTTAGTTTTCATAGGAAACCTAAAATTGATTTTCACAAGTGGGACTGATGCTTTTGAATTTGATTTAGAAATAATATAGGTGAATATTGTAAGGTTTCGTGGTGGCAAGATGGGGAGCAATGTAGCGTGGGCCAAAATTCTGTTTATGCAGAAATAAATTTGCATAGGAAGGAATCATTGGGAATAATGAAAGTGAATAACTTAAGTTCTGGTAGTTTTTCTATAGGAGCGTCCCTATATTTTGTCCCTCTATAGGGGCAGAACTAAAATCACTTAAGTAGGATGGAGGTGGATTGTAAATTTGAATCAAGAGGGCCAGGGTGGTTGGATGGAGCACCTCAAGGTCCTTACCATTTATGTAGCTAGATAATATTTGGCAGAACATGCCTAGAAATGCCTCCTAAAAAGTGATAACTTTTTCTAGCTCTATAGCGTTCCATTCAAAATTAGGGTTAAAAGACTTCTTGAGGTTGGGAGGCTACCTCACGCTACCAGAATCTGATGAGAAACTACTATTTTAACAAACACATAGCCAAAGCCTGATTACACAAACAGAGTTTTTCTTTTCAGTAAAACACAAGTTGCTACCACCAGTTCTGGCCCCAAACCAGCACAGCTGTTTATCCGCACGCACAAACAGCTCTGTGCCTTGCCCCATGCCGTCCTGAGGGCAGACTGTGAGATGCACGAGGCCAGAACAGCAAAGGGCAGCAAAAGCAGTTCTCACTTAGAGACTTGAGCTCCAACTGCCACAGAAAAGAAAGAAAAAACAGAAAGAACCCAAAATTTCCTCTAGAAGATGGTTGCTACAGAAAATACTGTCGTTTGTGTGTTTGTTTAGGTGACCCTGATATTGAGGTTGTTTCCCGCTACCTTCAAAGAATGAGAAGAGTTTATCCGGCGCTTGAAGGTCGAATAAAATTTTCTGGTGGAAGTCTTATCCAAGGAAGCTTTACCCTGATTGCCATATTGTTCACTCTAACATCTTGGACATTTAATTTTTGCTTATGATTCGTTGTTGTTGGTTTTTTTTTTCCTTTTGGAGAAAGGTAGGAAGGGAGAGGGTGCTGAAGAAGGAAATTTCTCTTTTCTTACACATTACAATAAACAAGTACTTCAGTTTCTGCTTGTAATCAGGTAAAGCCATTGAAGCACTTGCTGCAAAGTGAAGGAGCAGAATTTATGACTTTTGATATGTTTCCAGCTGCTGTTAGAGACTTGCATAATCCGCAGCACACCAGTTCTCCATTGGGAACTTCATCACTGACCAAATGGGCAGCCTCCTAATTTGCCAAATTCTTCTTGCAGCCCAGACAATGAGTTGATAAAAATCTGATTCCAGTTCCTAAACAACAGCCTAGAAATGGGTGCATCTCTGCTGTTTAAGCTTTCCAGCTAATATTTTTACTTTTCTTCAGGTCAAATTTGTCTTACAGCCATGCCTGGAAGAGATGGATTCAGTGTTACTACAAAATGAAAAAGGTTGCCCATATTTCAAGGTGGAGCAGCTCATTTTTGTTTTTCATTGACAAAGAATACGATGGAAGTTTGATTTGATGTATTTGGATTTGACCCCAATCCAGCACGTGTAACTTCACTGTGTAGTATGGCCAGTGCCGGGATCACAAACTGAGGGAACACCCAGCAGCCAGGATGACACTTTCATGAGACAATTCTGCAAGTCATTCTTGCAGCGGCTGCCACGAGCTTTCTAGACGACTGCCAGCAATAAAGGTGCTCAACTTCACACCTAATTCCAGAGACCAAAGCAGAGGCCTCCTGAACCTTACCCAGGATCAAGGACGTTCAGAGAAAACATCATCTACCCACAGCGATTCCTGCAACACTGTGGCATCCTTCAGAAGCTGCCCAGTAACAGAGCTGTTTATAGTGTAACCAGGATTGTCCCTACACCTCAAAAGTCTTTTTCTCTAGCGGAAAAACAAACAAAAAAACCCCCGCAGATTTTAAAACACGACCTAAGAGGCAGGTTAATGAGTATAAAACCAGAACTAGGATTTTCTAACACTTTATCAAGAGGTCAGACCAATAAGTGTAAGTAATGATATTTTGTAATCATATCAAAATTCAGAATATGTATATTAAAGCCACATGTTGTTTACTGCTGTATTAAACTGATTGGAAATGTCCTGTGGATAAACAGATTTTGATTTTCTGGAAAGCAGGCTGCACCCTTTCAGGGCCCAGCCCCTCAGCTCTGGAATTCACTGCACCTCAGATTACAGGAAGGTAAGATAAGCATTTAATAAGAAAGGGAACGTTCTGTACGTTTCATTTCAAGATGCAACTAGTTTCCAGGTAAATTCAAGGGCTGCACGTGTAGCAACCTGGACTACATAGTTTTAGGAGCTGTGCTGGAACAGGGATACTTGTTCCTCATAGTACTTGAAGGGGGATAGGAGGCAACTAAGAACAGCATGCAACACACTCCTGACTCTTGCAGGGCAGTGAGGATTTTTCAATACCAGCCATAACAGTCTTAAATCACAGAAGACCTGTCACAGGCTGCCCAGGGAGGCTGTGGAGTCTCCTTCTCTGGAGCTCTTCCAAACCCGCCTGGATGCCGCCCTGTGCCCCGTGCTCTGGGTGTCCCTGCTGGAGCAGGGGCTTGGACTGGATGATCTCCGGAGGTCCCTTCCAACCTCAGTCCTTCTGGGATTCTGTGAAGAATACTCCCCCCATGCACCACAGTACGGTAGCAGGGACTACATCTGTGCACCAGGCTGTACCTTCACATCTCCATTTCAGAAATTACATTTTTTCCTTTCTTTGACAAAGAGAAAGGTTTGCAACAGCAATATAAATAAAGCAAGTTGTGCTCACTAAAAATTGCCAGAAACTGTGGTAGAACAGTATACTCTGGTCCGTCTGCAAAAGGAAAGAAATCTCCAAAGTCTTAAAATACCTCTGTATTGTTCTGCAAGCAAAACTTGTTACAAATCCACACACAAAAGCCCTTTATAAAGTCTCTTTTTATAACATCTAGTACCAACAAATTAAAATTTACAGGAAAAAGAAAAAAAGGTCTTCTACGCATTTTTATTCTAATCAATTTAAAAAAAAATAAAGAGCAGATTCACATCCTCTTCTCCAAGCCTCCAAAGAGGATGTCCGGGGAAAAAAAAATCCAAACCACACCAATCCAGATAGAAATAGCAGAAAAATAAAAGCTAAGGTAAAAGTCAAAAACACACTTCACACCCATTGTTATTTTAAGAGTGCTTTAAATTTCAAGGTCAGATGCTAAATAAACAATTATTACATGCGCTGTAGTTCCCAGGCTCCTTGAAAGCACGACGGCCAAAGATAAGTTCTGAGATGATCTGTGTGCAATAGATTCAGTCAGATTCCCTTAAATGAGTTAAGATTTGTCAAGATATTTACAAAATGTACAACTTCTTCCACATAATTTTTCTCAATATCCTTGAAGGAAGACAACAGCTGGGCTTTAATGGAGCCCATGCAGGCTGGTCTCCCAGCAGGTCCTGTCTCCTAGCACTCTGTACCTTCTTCATAAAGAGATTTTGGGGGAACAGATTAGACTTTTGCTGATAACAATAGAAAAAAAAAAGAACAAAAAGCACAACTGTATCATTTAATTGTAACTAGTATTAAATTTTAATGTCTTTATTGCACAAAGAGGTTTTTAGATCTTAATTTACGCTATTTACAAGAAAATGTACAAATGCAAGGCTCAGATGCCACATGTACGTTCTGTTGGTGCACAGCAGAAGCCTCTCCTAGGTGCTCAGCCCAGTCCCCACGTTCACATCCACGGTGGCACCGAGCTACCTTCCTTTGGACCCTGTCAAACAGCAGGTCAGAAAAAAAGGAGCAAGAATGAAACTGCACGTTCACACAGAAAGAATGAACAATATTTGAAGGCACTGACTAAAACTGGAGAAAACAGCAAGGTAAGCCAGTGGTTTGAGCTTTAATATTTTAAGAAACAGTATTTCTTCCTGTAGAACTTTTCCCCTGCCTCTTGCTGACTGCTAAGCATGCTTTGCAGGACCTGCAGCCTCCTGCTCTGGGAGCACCGGCATGGTGTTTTCCAGCAGAATTTCTTTCCTTCCTCTGCTAGGAATGTTCTTCCTGTCTCAGATGTCCCTTTTCCTTTTATCCTGTCTGAGCAGACTCCCTAGAGCGTGGCCGTGCGCTGCATGCTCACCAGCAAAGCGCCTCATCCCGGCTGCATCCCGGCCCCGGGGGACGGTCCTGCACGGCTCCCACAGCGGGATCCGCAGCCGGACGCGACTTCCAGGGGCCGGAGCTGATGAGTGGCAGCAAACAAGTGGCTGCCACATGACGTTACATAAAAGCATCTTTACATAACGTGTGAATTCTTCAAATAGCTTTAAAGTTTGTGGGATGACCATTTGGTATTTCATTTTTGAAAATATGAATGCTGTAGCTTTTTTTTTTTTAAAAAAACACATGGCAGTGCTTCAAAAACCTTCTTTAAAATTATCTGGTATTTCCCATTCTTATCCTCATGGAAAGCAGGGTGACATTCCGCCCCAAAAACAAAAAAATTCTCATTTCTTTCCTTACTATTCCTGTTGCTGCGAAGCAGCACTAAGAAAATCTGGGATGCCCAGTTTTCTTTTTAAACACTGTCCAGTCTGAAACAGTTTCCTGTTCCTTTCTGTAAATACAAACACATTTCGGTACAAGCCACTTGGAAAGGAGTAGTCGCTGTTGGGCGGAGGAGCCAGTCACTGGAGTGATCTTTTGAATAAATGATAACAAAGTAAGAACCTGCTTGGAGAACGGAAGAATAAGAACTTTCTTTGGAGGAAAAAGAATTCCCAGAAGTCCTCACAGGCAGTTTAGGGATATTTAGGGAGCAAAAAGGGAGGAGAAAGGGAACCAAAATGTGATTCCCACCCAGGAGCCAAGCAGCCTTCCCTTTATTCTGCCTTTCTTTTTTTCTGCACTCAAGGTACCGTGGAAAACATCTGCCCTACACAAGCTCCCCGCACTTCGCATTTGCCTTTTCACACTGGTCCTCCTTCAGCTGCCTCGCTCGGGCCATCGTAGCCCTATTAATGTTCCCTACCCTAAAGGCCCACAGAAGGCAGCAGCACTCGCCCTCTTTTATACTCCTGATACAGCCTGGAGAGGAAAACAGCTGAAATTCCTGGTAGACAGACCTCCTCTTCCTTGCCTTTTCCAAAATCTTTTCCAAAGTCCCCATGTGTGTCACAGGGACACAGGGATCAGAGGGGATGGAAAGGGAGGGACACAGGGATCAGCGCGGCCGCCTCAGAGCCCCTTCCTCGGCACGGGGGTTTCCATTCAGGTAGGGGAATGAAAGGATGGATTAACAAATAAAAGCTTTAACTCTAAATCAAATTACAATCATATTTTGTTTTGTTATTGAGGAAAAACCCTCATAATAAAAAAATAAAGGGGGGTAACGGTTCGTAGTCTTTATGAATTACTTAAATGCTCAGAGCACAAAGCCTTGTGCTTCTGTCAGAAAGGGCTGTGCTCCTGCAGACACCCTGCAGCACACAAGTCGCTTCCTCATTCCTGTGGCTGGTTGGGTCTTTTTAATTTTCCACTTTTTGACCACTGAGGTGAGGGGGTGACGACAAAGCTAAAGCTCCAAGTGGGTTAATCCAGTTCAACTCGTCCCCTTCCCGCACTAACGAGCGAGGCTCCTGCTGACATCTGCCACCGGGCTCGGCCTGGCACGCAGGGCAAATCCCCGCGGCCCCGACTCGGAGCTTGAGCAACCAGATCGCACTCGTAAGCGGAGGGGTTTGTTCCGTCTCATCAGGCAGCCAACATTTCCTGTTCGCTGGGAAATCTCAACTGCAAACTCACCATGAAAAGCTTGATGAAGGCTCTATGCCTGCAGGTAGGAATATCTGATGGATAATATACACAGGGAGAAGCATTTGTATGGCACCTGAGTTCGTTCTTCTCTATCTGGACAGAGAGTGTTAACACTGCACTGACCCCACTTAGGGAAGAAACACCCCGTGAAATATACTCAAGAAAAAGCCTGAAGCTCAACATGACTTCATGTGCAAATTTGCTTTAAAAAGACAACAAATGCAGGAAATAGATTGCAGGAAAGCCATCCAGAAGGAAGGCAGACAGACAGACAGGCTGACAACCAGTTGTTCTCTATTGCCCAGTGCTGCTGGAGGGTGCAGACTCTGAGCCCAGGCTGAGGGCAAGTTAGACAAACGATCTGAACAGATCTGGAAAGACTTCATTAGCAACAAAAATACAAACAATTCACATTTCTAAGATGTCAACAGAGTGGTTAAATGGCAAATTCTCCTCAAAATTAAACTTAGTAAACAAGGAACTGAGAGCAAAATTGCACCAATGTCCAGAGTCACGAGTAGCCTGAAGAATTTATCTACAACTCTTGATTTCCACACATACCTTACTCAGCTCTGGAAAAAGTTCTTGAATCCCAATGTCCAGGAGCACATAAGTTAGCTAGAACAAGACAAAGGAAATGTCAGAGAAGAGTCTCAGTCGGCCATTAAGAACACTAAAGCACCTTGTTGCTTCTTATTTTATTCACTCTGAGTGAGAACTCGCACATTTGCCCAACGTGGTGCCAAATGGCAGCTTTGTGACATGCTGCGAGTTACCTGTTTGTTGAGCACTGGTTGCTGTAATCCGTCAAAGAGAAGCCGGATGCCTTCGTATTTGGCCTCCTCCCCGATGCACTTGCCTATTAAATCTAGAGGAGACACCACCAGCAGATACACAAGTCGTTAGGACGCTCTGCAGAGCAGCTGTACTCGGCAGCTACAGAACAGCAGCTGGTTTGAGCAGAATGAAAACAACCCCATAATTCCACCTCAGTGGGTTTTATAAATAGTTAAATATATAAATAAATGTATGTTTTATAAGAAAATAATTAAAAATTTATCCTTCCTGAGTGGAAAAATGGAAAAAGCACTCATTTGGTAAACCAAATACACATTTTTTTTTCCTCCTCTTTGCTCTTTCTTTATTTCAGGGTTGCATTGCTAAGTCTTTATCACTTTTTTTTTCCCCTAATGTCAACTCAGCCAACCCCTATTGCTTTGTTTAATAAACTCTAAGATAGCATTTTTCAGGTACTTTTGGAATAACATGGAATAACATGGGCCTCTCTTCCTTATGTTACAGAGTGCAAATTGAGCTCAGGCTAAGTTGCTAACTATACAGTATTTCCCTCCCCTATCTCCCCCCCTCCACAACTACTTTATTTATTTAATTTTAAACTCAGCCTTCCTCCCTAGCCAGGTACAACACAAACTTGAGGTGCATACCAAAATGAATAGGGAATAAAACTGAAGTCATGCCTTTAAACATTAAAATATTTAAACACAAATATTAAAACACTAATGCTTATGTGCTTTTTGTCAGCTCTAACCCCTCAGCAGTATAATGATTGCTGCTAGTACTTGATTTAGGCAGCCAGCAGTGCTGTACTTGGGCCATGTGCCTGCTGGAACTAGCCGCACTCGCGTGAAAAGCCATCAAGCAGAGGACCTGGAATGTATCTCATCATCTCCTCGAAGGTTTGCTTCGCGCGCTTCTGCTTGTCCTGGAGGGAGCGGGCCTCCGTGCTCTCGCAGAACACGGCATCTGCAGAGACACGTCCAAGAAACCACCTGTAGGCACCTATATATCTAACACACAGCATAAAAACTGCCCTGCGTCTTGGCTTCGAAGCTGAGCTGCTTTTCCATATGAGCTTAACTGGGAATAGATTCTAGTCTCATCGGTTAATAGTCTCATGTCTTTTGATTACATTAGCCTGATTATATTCAGAAGGACAACCCTATTTTTGCCAGTTTCCGCTCCATGCTCTATGTTTTTAAAGCATTATCTTCTAGGTTTTAATCAATCCTGCTTTATGTTACATATAACATTCCCTTACGGAGGTATAAGCAGTAATAGCACCTTGCCCTAAAGCAACGTTTAGAATTATCAAAAATTTCAGATTCAGCTAAGACTGAAAAAATCAAAAATTGTTCATCAGAAACAACAGGCACTCACTTTTGTTGTTAGGCACTAAAAAACCCTCTTTTTTTCCCCCCCTCTCCTCTCCATTAGGTTTTCTTTTGTATTGATATGGCCAGAGCTGGTCTTGACTCTAGAGCTCTGACCAGATGTGCCATCAGATGATGCTTCTCGCCAGTTGTGAGATGAGGTCATTTATCTCCCTTCCCCGATTTGTAGGCAAAATACACCCAAGCCCACTCAAAATCCCACCGCAACAAATGACACAGAAAAGTTGACTTTAATCTATGACTGTAATAGAGGGCACAGATAAAAATTAATTTAAAGAAAGCATGAAACATCTCATCTACTAAACAAGCTTTATTCTCCTTTTTCTTGTCCTCAGCAAACCTTAGCAAATTGCTGTTATTATTCTTCATCACTGTAGTAAGCCACCACTGACAGACAATGTGGCCAACATCTTTCAGCAACTTGAACATTTGGGATCTTTTACTCAATCCCTAAAACTCCCCTGGCTTTTAGTCAAGTCTTATGAAATCTGGAGAGCACCTGGAAACTTAACAGAAGGATTTTCAAAATATCAAACCAAAACAGCACATTTATGGCAAAGATACAATCTTTACTAACCTCTTAGTAGTGTTATCAAAGAAACCAGACGGTGCTCCTCAAATAGCTGCTCTAACTTATAGTGCAGATAATAGTCTGTGTACAGCTCCAATGTGTTTTTGAAGAGAATTCTTCCTCCCATGAAGAGGTGATGCAGCCAGTCAGGAATGCGAAATACCACCCTACCTGCAAAGTTCCAGCAGCACATTTACAAAACTCCTCTAACAGCAACAGCAAAGAAATCATATATATATATATATATATACACATACATACACACACACACACGTATATATATATAAAGCAAATAATGTTGTTTTTATTTGTGCAAATGTTCCAGTTTCCTTACCAAATATTTTCTTTATTTTTATTAATTGGTGCCCAGAGCGCACAAGCAGCCTAGGCACATATATGAAGAGAAGGGAACTCTTCACCTGCAAGTTCATACTCTGAGATGTAGAAAGGGATATAAGAAACAACTTATTTCAGCACTTGCAAAATTAGCAAGAGCACTACAATAGAATTATATTTTTTACTGAAGAATCTGAACTTCGTATTTGCCACAAAATACAAAAATAATCAAGAGAAATCACTTCTTACCAATAAACATGAAGTAGTCGTAGACTCCTTCTACGGTCATCATTTCCATAAAGTAGTTCTGGTTTTGTCGCCTTTCTGTGTTCTCAGACCGGTTCGCGTTGTTCTTGAATAGGTCATTGAAGAGCTGGAAGCAGAAATGTCATCCTGAAATCATTTCATTCAAAGACAAAAGAATCCCAGACTCAGAGGATGGTTGAGGTTGGAAGGGACCTCCAGAGATCATCAAATCCAATCCCCCTGATCCAGCAGGGACACCCAGAGCACAGGGCGGCATCCAGGTGGATTGGAAAGATCTCCAGAGAAGGAGACTCCACAGCCTCCCTGGGTTGTGACTGCTCTGTCACCCTCACAGCAAGGCAGGAAAAAGAGCATTTGCTCTATCAGAGGTATGTTCCAGATACAAGGAAGTAGATGACTCCTAATCACAGGAATTGTTATTATATTGAAAACAAGACATGATCAGGTGCTCAGCTAGTGACAACTATCCTGGCTGAAGCCGCGGTCCTGTCCCTGCTCTCCAAAGCTGCTGCAGCTCCCAGCTCTCTGGCCAAGGCACACAGCACTGCTTCCCTTTGCCCTGTTCTGCCAGGCCTCAGCACAGGCCAGTTCAGCAGCTGTGGTACATGCATCCGTGTCACCCCAGCCAGGCAGGGACTATGGAGTAGCCTCCTTAAACTGCTAGAAAGTTACCTAGTGACCTGGGCACACTGGGTGAGCTGTGACACAACTCTGTAAGCAATGACACAGCTCCATAGGCTACAAAGAGAGGGCAGTGAATAGATATGCACATACACACCTACATGCCCATACAGATCCCTCCAGGCACACGCAGTAATTCAGGGCTTCCCAAAGGAGAGGCCTAGAGAAGATCAAGTCCAGCAGGCTCATGGATCTCCAGTAGCTGGCCCGGGCTTCCTGTTCCCAATCCACCTTGATTTCTCCCTCTCCCTGCCTTGGTTCTTCCCCTAAACTTGGCATTGTGAGTCTGGTTCAATCCCTAGATGTTCTTCCTTGGCATCCTGTAACGCATCCAACACCCAACAGCAGGTACCCACAGACACAACGTGGGGCTCCAGCAGTTGGAAGGCAAGAGGCCTCTGAGCCCTGAAAGCCTCCAGATTCAGCAATCTCTAACAACAGCCTTTAGTTTATTTTAAATTACTTTCAAGTGGAGCATCTATAGATCAGAAGGAACTTATGCAAAATACTGCTCAATTATGGAAAAATTGTGAGATTTTACGTCAAGCTACTAAGAAAAATATCCCAGGGCCAGAAACAAAAAAAAATGGTTACAGTACTTCCTCCTAATCACATAGAAAAGGGTTTCTGCAACACTCCCAATTTAAAAACAGTTCCAAGCAACAACTAGTAATTTGCCTATTCTTGGTTCACCATCAATGGTGTAATTCTCTTTGTAAGAAAATGAAGCTATAAAACACCTGCATCACAACGGGCTCTAAATCATGCCAGTGTCCAGAGAGAGGACCCCCCATTCCCAGGAAAAACCGGCCTAGGAAACCCGGCTGGCTCAGGTTTTGACTTGCACTTACTTCTCCAGGCGCTGCTTTCTGCGAGCCCTGGATTCCTGGCATTATTTTAACCAAGTTTGCTCAGCTTAAACAATACCACGGCATGACATAAATTACACGAAGGAGCAAACATGGCCAATGCTGACTGGCATTCAGGAGATTAGAGAGATAATTAATCACATCTGCTGTATGGGAGTGCTGATTAAAGGGCCCTGTGTAAACCGAAATGTGCACCCCTCGGTCCCGAGCTGGGACATGCAGTTGCATTTGAGGGACCTAAACAAGTGTCACCAAGTCTCCAGATACCCCCACCAGCTGAACACGCTCTGTGCCAACCCACAGCAACCCATCGTGCCGCGCAGGTGAAGTTTCAGAGTCCATACAACCCACATTAAATCATTAACATCGGCCTGACGGGTGCTCTGGGAAGAGATGACTATCGTAGGGAAAGCTTTTTGATCTCCAAAAGTTATTCCAACTCCCACGGCAAATGAGGAGTGGCTCAAGTATCTTCCAAACGTGGTATGTACTTCTCATGGGTAATGTCCTGCTCCTTAAGCATAATTTGTCAGGCTTGAAACCTGCCCTCTCTTGCACATGGCATTTCAGAAAGCTAAAGTTCACCAATTTATGCCAAGGTTACTGAGCCTGAACACTTTTTATTAAGTATATATACTTTGTACTGTCCCAGTATACGCGTGAACTCACCCTGCAGTCATTAACAACACATTCATTAAGCACACAGCAGGCACAACCAAGCAGACATGACATCTCTATTTAATACTTTGTACTTCCCAGCATTTCATCTCAGAGGAAAAGGAAGCAGAAAAAAAATGGACATGTAATATTAAATACCAGAGTGAAGATTACATTCAGTAACTCAGATAAATATAAGCACATGATTTTGCTTTTAAATGCTTTTAAATTTAAAAAGTGCCAATGTGCAAATGTTTCTGCTTGTTTTAAAATTTGAGACATGATACAATGCTCATTATTGCAATTGTGCCAAAAAAGACAAGACAAATTCCATGTTATCAATACCAGGATCTTCAAGAGTAAACAGGAACGATTATTATATGAATGATTTTAACACTGTGAAATATTTTTAAAATGGTTTTGAAAGGGATGAGAAATTCCATATAAAGGTTATGCGTTAATAATGGAAGTTCTTGAAACTAATGACACATAAAAGAAAACTCAAGAAAAAGACCCACATTAAAAAAATGCAAAGAAAAAGCCCTAGGAAAACTGTTTTACAGCAGACTATATTAACCTCAATGGAAGAAGCCAAGAGGAGAACCCTGTGTTCTCACAGCGAGTGTCTAATCCAAAAAGGCTGATACTCAACTCGCAAATGCTCAAGTCCTCGCACACCCATTCGGTGGCAGGTGTGAACTGCAGAGCAGCAAGAAAACCAGGAACAACATCCACAGCCAGGATATGAACATTCCCCATCCATTTCTCCTCACTTGCACTAAAATACAGATGACTTTACCGAAACGGCAGAAGAAGGAACATACTACGTATGTTCACAACATGAGCAACTGTGCTCTCCTCCACGTAGCCTAGCACCAATATGTAGGATGTTCGGGGGGTTCCAGAGCAGGTTCTGCTGCTCTCGACAGGCCATGGCAATGGGCCAAGGCCTCTGCACACATGTTTTCTCAGTGTATGAAGGAGCCAAACCCCACCAGCTGCCCTAGCAAGGCTGGCAAAGTGTCTTCTGAGGCTATCGAGCTGTTTGCAGACCCCAAAACAGAGGCACAGCTGAAGGAAGACTGCAGCCTGTAAATCCCATCGCTGCCTTTGTGCGGGGGCAGCTACTGCTGCAGAGGAAGCCCTATTTTTCCAGCAAAGCTGGTAAATCTTCTGTCCTGGCGCAGCCAACTCAGGATAAACCGCAAATGCAACTGGCTGTGCTGAGAGCGGCTGCCCATGTTCGTCCAGCGTTTGTAACTAAAACTCCTCTTGCCAAAACCCAACATACACGCGCAGCAGGAGCGTTCAGAAGGAGGAAGAGTGAGGAAAGTCCTTTGCTCAGCAGAACAGGCAGCATTTGGGGGAAACGTGGAGCTTTCGCCTGCCCCGAGGGCCCTTCTGGGGCGACCGGTTCCCGAAGAGCGAGGCCGAGGCCTCTGCTCACGACACGGGAGACATCCCCACTATCCTGGCTGCATCGCACTACATGGGGCAATAGAAGTATCAATGGAAAATCCACTACAGCATTTCCCAAATAAATAAATAAATAAATAAAACCCTGTGGTCACAGTGTTTTTGCTATGAGATTACAGGATCCCCTGGAGACAGGCTCTTGCAGATGAGGGGGCCAGCACATCCACATCCTGCCCCAAGGGCTTCTTCAGCAGCTATGAAGAACAGCTGTGCTGTGACCTCATCCACCACTATTTGGCTTTTATTTGTTTTTTACTGTTTTCTACCATCATAAATATATGCACTGGCTCCATACAAGTAACTCACGCAATGTTACAGAATCACAGAGGGGTTGAGGTTGGAAGGGACCTCTAGAGATCATCTAGTCCAACCCCCTGCTCCAGCAGGGACACCCAGAGCACAGGGCACAGGGCGGCATCCAGGCAGGTTGGGAAGATCTCCAGAGAAGGAGACTCCACAGCCTCCCTGGGCAGCCTGTGCCAGGGCTCTGTCACCCTCACAGGGATGAAGTTCTTCCTGACATGGAGATGGAACTGCCTGTGTTGCAGCTTGTACCCATTACCCCTTGCCCTGTCACTGGCCATCACTGAGAAGAGCTTGGCCCATTCTTCTCTACATTCCCCCTTCATGTACTTACACATATTAATCAGATCTCCTCTCAGTCTTCTCTTCTCCAGGCTAAACAGGCTCATCTCTAAAGACTTTCTTCATAGGATAGATGCTCCATTCCCTTAATCATCTTTGCCACTCTCCGCTGGACCTTCTCGAGAAGCTCCACGTCCCTCTTATACTGGGGTGCCCAGAACTGCACACAGTACTCCAGGTGCGGCCTCACCAGAGCTGAGGAGAGGGGCAGAATCACCTCCCTTGACCTGCTGGCAACACTCCTCCTGATGCAGCCAGGATCCCATTGGCCTTCTTGGCCATGAGGGCACACTGCTGACTCATGGTTAACTTGGTGTCCTGAGTCCTCTCCCAGGTCCCTCTCTGTGGAGGAGGTCGAGCCCTAATCTGTCCTGGTGCCTGGGGTTATTCCTCCCCAGGTGCAGGACCCTGCACTTGTCCTTACTGAACCTCAGGAGGTTCCTCTCTGCCCAACTCACCAGCCCATCCAGGTCCCTCTGGATGGCAGCACAGCCCTCCGGAGTGTCGGCCACTCCACCCAGCTTGGTGTCATCCGCAAACTTGCTCAGGGTGCATTCCGTGCCCTCGTCCAGCTCATTGATGAATAAACTGAACAGCACCAGGCCCAGCACTGACCCCTGGGGGACACCACTGGCCACAGGCCTCCAGCTGGACTCGGTCCCATTTATCACTCCCTCTTCAAAGTACAAAGTTTGCTGCTTAAATGGTTTCTTTAGGTATATTAAGTGTATTAAGATACTAACATTAATATTCCTTGGCAGATTATAATTATAGTAGAAAATTAACTGTGAGCATATATATCCCTGACTTGTCGTTATTTCAGATTGAATGATCTGTCTAAAATCATGTCAACTCTGTAATAGGAATATAAAAGGAACTTGGATTTCCAAAATCCTAGTCCAGGAATATTAATGCTTCTCTGTAAATTCCACAAAGATGTTAATGACCTAAAGCAGCCTAACACAAAAATTTAAAGACCAGTCTCTTGTTAAAGGCCCTGAAGGTAATGAAATTCTTCCCAGAGTTTACCAACATCTAAACACAAATGCAGATAAATTAAAAAGGGAAGTACCTTTTCCTAAAACATTGTAAAAAGTCAGAATGGAAGCACTGGGATTTACCAGTAAAAATGTCAGAGAGCACAACTGTAGTTAAGAATTATGTAAAGCACACATCAATGAATGCACACAAACATTTCATTAAAGACAGATAAACAGGTAGTGCCATTTTAACAATTCCGGTTTGTCGCTCACTGACCATTGTTTTAAACATTGAAGTTCTTCAAAAAGGAAGTTACCTTATGGTATTAAAACATTCCCCATTTTACATCTTTGCCTTCCCTAAGAAAGCAAATTGCACAGTTAATCTCTTCTATTTATGGCTTTTTTAGCTTATTCCTTGCATCTTCAGATTAAGGTCAATTTTCTCCACTTGTATAAATTGGAAGAAAGAAGAAAATCTACTGTACCTTCTTGTTGTTCTCATAAGTTGGACTGATAATAGTAAGTTCCGGCCTACTTGGTTTAGGCTTGGGAGATTCACAGGAGTTGATAAAGTTCATGATGAAGGGCTCCAAATGCTGACCTTTCTGAAATCAGACAGTGAGTGTGACCTGTCAGTTACATAACTGTGGGGGGTTTCTAAACAAATTTTTGAGTTGCCTCTAATTTAGTAAGCCAATAAAAGTAGTCCCTAAAGTTAAACAGTTGGCAACCTGGAAGACTTACCTCTTTAATCAGCTTTCCTGGAACAGATTTTATAATTTTACCTATAATTAAGAACAAAAAAGCCCTTCTGTTATCATTGCTGGTATTTAGGGTAGCACAGCTAATAAAACTTTCCATCTTTCATGCTGTCCATTCAGACTGTAAGCTTTGTGTATAAAACTTTATAAATATTTGTTGGGACTTCTTAATATAACAGTAACGCATCATGACCTATTACTAAGCTACAATAAACAAAAGACCTCATGCTCTACCACATTTTGCATGCCTATTGTCTAGTACTTCTTCGAAAATAATGCAGTAGTTCAAAAAACGCAGCTTTTTAAAGCTGGTATATAAAGCTATAAAAATAAGTTTGTTTGTTTTTACATATCCAGCTTTTAGGTAACCAAATGCTTAGTATTTATAACAAAAGATGCTCAAAATATGAAAACTATACAGATGATTATCTGACTACCGTGAAAAGCTGTAAAAATGACTGGCTTATCTAGACTGGACTTTTACCAATGCTATAAATCTTCCTGAACTTCCTGAACAATTTGGTAGAGAAATCTAACCACCTTGTTTGCTGATATAAAGGTTCACAGCACCCCTCCCCCCACTCCTAATTATGTCAAAATGAGCTTTTCCTTTGAGGAAAAAGAAAAAATCTTGCTCCATGAGCTTTGAGTTTAACAGCTGGAAGGAGCAGAGTTGTTTCCACACGCAGATCCTTAGCGTACTACATACCAAGATTCACATCCGGCAACATTTTGTCAAGAAACTGGGTCTCTCCTCCATTTGGAGACAGAAAGTCAGCTAGAAGCTGGCTGTTGCTTAGCTCTGGATGTTGCAGAAGTTTCTTCAAGGTAGAAGGTAGGAAAGAGAAGTTTAAGTACTTTAAAAACAATCTCTAAAATCAGTTTTTTTAGAGCAACAAGAGATGTTTACAAAGCATTATGTTACAATAGCTATTAAGTGTCATTTGCAAAATATTCACCAGTTTTCAGTCATGTTTAACTTAAACCACCTTTCATTTGTTCTCATGAACCACTACTGTAACTCTTCAAATCACTTGGGGATGAGGAAGAAGACTTAACACATACTCCTTTATTAGTTTTGTGTCATTAGTTTTATTAGCATAATCTCCTGTGGAAGTTTGTTTCATACCTGCAGATACTCCTGAAACTCCTCCCTCTTGGATTTTAAGAACTCATAGTTCTTGGGGCCAATGATTCTCTTTGAAGGAAGCTGAGCATCAGGGAATGTACCTAAAAAGATATGAGGCAGATTAAATTATTCTTGAAACAAAACAGACACTGCTTTCATTAGCTTTTAATTAAGCCCAGGACTAAAATGCAGTCTAAGCAGTTGGGGAGCATACCATGGAATTCTGTTAGCTTTGACTCAAGCACATAAAATTCAAGGTATCTTCTGTAGACAGACCAGTGTTCAGGTTCATGTCCAACTGAGGGGAAAAATACAACAGAAAAAAAAAAAAGTTAATGTGTTTTAAAATAAATAAATAAATAAATAAATAAATAAATAAATAAATAAAAAGACATCAACAAGGACGTTCTCATCTCCTTTAGTGAATCCCGGCATTCTGAGTAATAGACCATTTCATAAACTCAGAATTTATTAGGGATGACTACATTGCATCTCTTTTCAAACTTTTAACCAATAAGCTACAGAAATATTGCTTGTTGAATACAGTTCCTTGCACCATCAGCTTGAACCCTGGCCATTCTTCTTCCTGAAGCATATCACTAAATAACCCTTGAAGGCCTTCTGCTCCATGTGAAAGTGTCAGCTTCACTAATGTAATTCCACACAGCCCCAGGATGATGTTATTCTTTCCGTTCAACACGGATGTAATGGAATCTAGACACAGATTAACTATCCGAAAGCAAGAATGTTTCTTGATTACCAAAAGACACTAACCTGTATAAGCAGTACACTTTAATATTACAGGAAATGCTATTTTACAATATTCCAAACCTGGTTTTTTTTTGCTAGCCAAACTACATACCCAAAATAGACTCAGTACCAACGGCATTATTTATATGACTGTATTTTTGCATGTTGCTATACATAAAAAGGGAATAAGAAAAATGAGTATAAAGGGGAATAAAAATATAGGCCAGATGTTTGCTCGTTAATGAGAGTCACAGGATTTTTTTTGGAAAAAGGGACATTCTTAAGGTTTAAGCTTTGATGTTAAGTCTAAATGGATCTAATTCACTGTGAGGAGTCATTCGCAAGTTGCTAGTAACACGTCAAACGTATTTCTGCAGAAATTTAACTCATTACTTAAAAAACAGAAAAAGATGCATGTACACCACACTGAAAGAGCCATCAAAACAGAGTTGGAAGAATTTTAAAATGTAATTTTATCCCTAACAACATTACATACCTGCTCTTCTGTCGTTTCTCTCTACATCAATACAGAACACAGGAATCCTCTCCCTTCTGTCTTTCTTTTCCAAGGAAGGATCTTCAAAGAAATCTACGTAGGGGATACTGATTTTCCACGCAGAGAGGTTGCGGGGTGTATTTGGGGTACTTACAACCTCCTCCAGAGAGTCATCCTCCATTACCATGACACCTTCCTCAATCTGTGGAGATTCAAACATCAAGATCCACGCTTCCATCTTCAGTGGGATTAGCCTTTCTAAATCACACTTACATTAAAGAAACATAAACAAGTCTTTGCAACTGAAGTATGTGCTCAAGATTACTGACTGAGAACTAAAAGAAAAAGAAAACATTTTCTTAATGGAGAAATTACTGGGTTTAGATCTACTGTAGATTAATTTTCACAATTAATAAAACATGAAAATATATCGAGCACAATCAACTCTTGTATCTGAGACTTCTTAATGAAGAAAAAATGAAAGCAACTCAAATGCAGGCCTGCGTTTGACTTGCTCTGCCAGGCAGATGCAACGTGGCCAGGATGGGGACTGAACTACTCCTGCAGCCCAGAGATTGAGTTAAAAAAAAATATATATATATATATAAAAATATATATAAATAAAAATCATAACAATCGGCTCCAGATGTATCATGGAATGAGGTGGATTTAATCCCTGTCTGCCATGTGTGGGGCAGTTCTATTGTACTCAGCTCATAAATTCATGTTCCATGCCATAAAATTTGGTAATACTTTTTCCGCAGGCAAGCCGACCTCCGAACCAGTGCCATGTGAGCACTACAGAAGTTCTTTAAATCCTGATCCAGATTCCCAGGGCTACACTAACTCACACTTCATATCCCTGATACTCCTGCTACAACTGAGGCAAATGGGTCACCAACCTGCTACACAGTGCACCGAGCCTCACGTCCCAGGGAACAGCAGAGACAGTCCCACAAGGCTTGCAGGACCATACACACAAAAATTACCTCATTTTTCTCAAAAATGATCTCAAATTTACCTCATTACCTGAACTGAAAATGCCACATTTAAAGATGATCTTGGAAAACGATTTATTTTTCCAAACAATAGTTTACCTGGACCTCATCTACACCACACACAACAAATAAGACCCTGAAAAGTAAAAACCATTTTTACAAATGAGGAGAGAGGGACTGTGAGAAGGAAGGATGCAGCTGGTCTTTGGCTTGCCTAAGAGACAAAAACAAAGGAGGAAGGAGAGCCTGGGAGAAGATCAGCTCTGGATAAAACTGCATTGGGAAAAAAAAACCACTTCTCCACAGGCTCAAAAAGATTGGGAAAACAAAAGAGACAGCTGTATTTCCCTATGAGACTACAATGGTTTGAAGTTAATCTAACCTGCTGCCTGGCAGCAACAGCTTCTACAAGGTCTGGTGACCCTGGTGGAAAGCAGCAGGTGCCACCATCTCTCCTGCCGCATGAGGGACAATCTGCAGAGCCCAACTCGGAGCTCTCGCTGAAGCCCCCATCCTGCTCGCACCCTGGGCTGCCACCAGCCCGCAGAGATGGGGGCTGATACCAGCACCCCGCTCTGCCCGCTGCAGTCCGCAGGATTGAGATTTACATTCAGATAACAGTACATTCCTCTGTTTGTGTGTGTGTGTGTGTAACGTGGAAAATAAATTATTTTAGTAAGCTTTATACAAATCCACACATTTGAGAATGTTGTCACTGGTTCAAATTAAAAGAAGAGATTTTAACACATGAATTTACAACATGTGAGGAAAACCTCTGAAACTAAAGAAAACTGAAAAGCATGAGTCTAACTTTCAAGTTATTTCTCCCTAGCTCCATGACTTAAAAGTGAAATTCCCCTCCAAGGCCAAGCCCAAATGGCATAATAAGTTTTCCAAGCAATGAGCTAATCCTAGTAGCACACGAAGGCAATCCACAACGTCTGTGGTTATTTCGGGGGTGTGCATCTGGCTGCTCATGTACAAACAAGGGTATTTTGGCTCTGTCTGCACCACAGCTTCCACATGGTCACAACAACTGCAGCTGAAGCACGAGTGGCTCAACACACTGCAGCAACCTGCGCTCGGCTGCAAGCGCTGCCTTCACATAACACTGCAGTGATCCTCAAGCTCATTACCACACGGACCACTGTCTTTCCAAAGAGATTTCCGTAGATCCGCGAACCAAATCCCCTCTTTCCAAAGCAATTTTCTGCTGCCACCTACCCAATTTACTGAATGAAAAAGGAAACAGGGACTGGGAAGGAGCAACCTCAATGGGCAGCACACAGAGGTCCCGCTCAGCTAGGAAGGTTCATGGCTGGAGAGCAAAATCACCCACGGTGCTACCCAGCAGCCAGGAATAAACCCAGGCCAAAGCTGCAGGGCGGGTGCACAAACTACAGCACTAGCTTATACCACAGAGCAGAATAAACAGCCCATGACGGTTCCCTGAAGGGCCCGTGAGGGAGCTTTGCATCTGGGAGGTCTCCCATATGGGCTCTGGAGCTCGTGGCTCCCTCCCTCCGGCTGCAAGCAGTCATCGTGGCTGGATTAAGGCATCAGGACAAGGTTATAGGATGGCAAATCCAAGAAAAGGAGACCAGCGTTTCTGCAGGATGGGGCAGTAAGAGCTGGCCGTGATTTACACTCGCCTCCTACCAACTGAGGGCCAAGCTACCAACCCGTTATAATCCACGCTGAGCAAATCTGTGTATCTGCATTAACGCCAGGTACACAGGCCCCACAGAACCTGCAAGGAGGCAGGTCCCTCCACAACCACTCAGACTTACCCCACTCCACAGCTTTCCACAAAACTGAAGGCTTAGGCCTGGCTTTGCCAAAACTCAACTCTTGCCTGCACTTGCCACCCAAACGTCTTCTCTCCAGATGCAATTTCACAACCAACCATTTCAGTTTCCACTCAGATCAGTGTCAAATGAAATTTTCCACAACTAAACCAACATTGGAACAGGCACATTATTCCATTCATTTTCAACACTTATGAGGGATGCTCTGGAAAAACATGAAGATGGATAAATAATCTAGTTTTGGAAGAGCACCTTTCAGCGGACACTGCTTCTTAGGGAACAGACTGCTACCTCAGAGCTGCACACAAAGCTGGAGATGGAAACTTGTGAAATACTTCAACCTACTGCTAGTTTCTTAGCTCAAAAACTAATAGACATACTAGGAAACACTCTTAAACAAATCTGATTTACTTGGATAGCTCAAACTTTCAAAAATTAAAAGGAGCTGTATTTTTTTCTGCCAAAATAATATAAAAATTCAGACTAAATTACTGAGAAAACTGGCCATCTCTCTCGTGTGGATTCTTCAGCAAAGTGCAAACTCACACTTCAGCTTTTGTTTCTCAGCAGGGCTCTATCCAAAGATCTCTCCTTAATTCCAGCATCAGTATAGGAAGTTTCCAAGAATTTAGAGGCCTCTATTATTTGGCTGATAGGAACCAAATTTAAAAAATACATTGAAAAGTTTAAAGGTGGAGCTTTCGGGGGAGGAAAGGAAATGACAGAGAACGCCTAAGCCCCATTCACAGAAAAAAAAAAAAAAAAAGGAAAAAAAAAAAGAAAAAAAAAAAGAAAGGGTATCATATTTTGTACGATATCCTCTGCTTAAGTTGGGAATTATGCTTCCACTCCCCTTGGCTGGCAGGATCTGGAAGCAATGTCAGGAACTCAATCCACTGCACTTATCTGGCTTCCTAAGAGTGGGGAGAAACTGAACTCTCCAAGAAATTAATTGCAACAGTTCTGCTCACTTAAGACATGACTTGTGTGAAAATTTAAAGAAAAAGCTATTTTATATACAGGCTAAGAGGCAGAGAAAAAGGCAGAGAACTGAGTTACTGAGTTTTTCTGACCATCTTCTGAAATGTAATTCTGAACACGATGAATAATATAAAGATAAAAGTGTAAAAATTAAGTGTGCAAAATGAGGCAGTTCATTAAGTTGACAGACACTTAAAACATTGGGTGGTGAGAAATTAAGGTGCATTTATTTTTTTTTGAATGGGGAAAAAAATAATCCATGACTCAAAAAATTTCTGATCCTCACTCACTTTTTTCCTCCCCATATGCCCCCCAACTGTGCCTCAAATACCATCCACCCAAGCCATAATTCAACCTCTGGCTGCATTTGCTGCTGTTTGGCATTAAAGAAAAGCTTCAGCTGCAGAAGACACCCAAGACAAATGAAAGAAAACACTACTGGCTCATGACCTTGGGAGAAAACACTGCATTGCACATCAACTCATACATATAGCACTGGAAAAACTGCTGTGTTTATAAGGAATTGCGGTATATATGAGATAAAGGGGCATGTCCCACATGTAACTTATCATATATCATTAGATTTTTAAAGAGGCAGCATCAATTTTTACACAGTGAAATTAATGAACTGATTACTTACAGAAGTTAAGTGTGTATAGAAACACTGACAAAACTGTTTTTCTAAGGAAGATATTACTTTTAACATTTCTGTACTCAAGCAATAAGTGCACAGGTAGACTAATGAGGGGGACGTGGCCTTGGTTTCTGAATGAATGCAGGGAAAATCAGGCAATTTAATTGGAATTTGGCACACACAATCCTTGCAGTGAAATAAGACAGCAGAAAGAGTTAGAGGTGAATGTAAAACTTTTACTCACAAAATCATCTTCTCCTTCATTTAAGTTATAGTTAGGCAGCATAGCTCCTTCCATTGCAGAACTCTTGAACACACCTTTTATTTTGTTGCCTATTCTGCTGATTCCAAACGATTCTCCTCTTTTCTGTGTGGTCCTAAGATCACAGAGGTCAAAGTTTACAGTACAAGGCATATGATATAACAATTCTGTAAGTCACTGCACATAATTTGGAAATAAGAGAAACAGTTGGGTAAACAAGTAGCTGACATAGTTACAGTTTCACTTAAGTTAGAACAGTTTATGGCAATTTTTTTGTTGTTCTTTTATTGACCAGCAATATTTTGAGTAGTCTCAGTAGAGATGTGGCATTACCACAAGTGTAATAGTGAGTAACAGTAACACTCTTATTATGGGATTGCAGAATGTAGAATAAACAATTGACTCTGTAAAACAATTTCGTTTTGACAGCAGAACCTGTCAGAGGCAGACACACTGGGAGGATCACTAACTCTGTCCCTGTCCATGTACTCTTCTATTTACATATTTATCCACTCTGCCAAGCACCCTAAGTAGTGTATTTAAATGCATTTTTTACATAAACATCCCCGAATTTTACAAGCATGTATGATGCAACATTGCGGGATACGTGCAAACATTAGGGATGAACAAAAGGAATGTGCAAGAAGCAGGACTGAGCATGAGAGAAAACAGATGTGACTGAAGAATCTTGGCTTGAGGAGGCAGTCTGCCTGGAAGATGAAATTGTTTTAAAGTTTTTTAAAGTATTGTTCAGAAATAAAGCAACTTATCATAAAGCATCTGAAAATCAACAAGTTAAAGAAAGAAAGTTTGAGCAGGAAATACATTTATTGGCGAGAAAACAAATTCCAGCATTCCTATACTCCTATACAAAACCTGTCAGGGAAGTCTATGTCTTGCATAGAAATTAACTAATTAGAACAAATTCCAGAAAGAAAAATATTTCTATTGAACACATTGTGATACTGCTTACATTCATACAATAGACGAAGTTGATACACAAGCTAAAAATCAATCAAGTCAACTGTGGAACCAAAGATGTAACAGAACTTAAAGGGATTATTACTATCCAAAGGATGGGAGGGTTTATTAATGGAAACAATCTTCTTGTTTATACCTGTATGGAGCCTGTGTACACATAACCAAAATTGCACAAATTCACTGTTCTTCCAAAGCTTTTGCCTTCCCTACCCCTTATTCATTATCAGCTCCAAAGCACAGACAGGCACCATCTGCCTTTGCTACCCCTACCTCTGCTAACAAGACATAAGGTTGCCTGACCCTTTGTAGTGTAAATCCCTGTTGGAACAATTAAAAAAATAAAAGCTTTTCCTATTTATTTTACTGATTTTCATCAGCTGAAATTTCTACCACGTTGATTAACTACCTGAATCTTGTTCAAGAGCTTAAACACAGGACTAGCAAAACATGTAGTGTGCTCAGACAAAACTAGGCAGCTTTCTAGAAGACTAATAAGTGAAATGCTGATTTGACTTCTCTGGAAGTTTTCATCATTCCTATGAAAACTTGTGCAATTCTCAAGATTTCAATACAAAAAAATTGTACAAGCTTAGAAACGGGACTATCACGGCCTTAAATTTCCAAAAATCCTTTTTGCACTGATCCTTCTGGCTCCAGCTGGAGGCAGAACAGGACCTCACTAGTAACCACGGTACTGAACTATGGGGCCAGGATCTGAACTAACAGTGAGGAGTCCCCATCTCCTGCCCAAATTCTGGGCCCAAAGAAAGGGTCTAAAAATACAGAGCTGCCACTAAGCTGGAACAGGAGTAAACTGACAAGCCTGAGATGGGATCCTCTTCACAAGCAGAAAGAGAAAAACTAAGAACAAGAATACACGTGAACGACAGGCACAAACACTACAGGGCGAAGTATAGAGCGAATATGGGACTGGTCTGTCAGAAATCCTTGAATAAGCACATAGTGCACAAGCTGGCTTAGATGAGCATGGAAAAAGTCTCAAGAAGGTCACAGAAACAGACGTACAACCTGATGATCAAACTTGAAAAAGTCCAGCAAAACAAAAAAACAAATGGGAGTCAAGATGAAAGGTGGAGGGAAGAAACCAGACAAGGGCATGGCCAGATGCAAGGCACAGAAAGGGTCTAGCTAGAGGAGAAACCACATCTTCCAAGTCTCACCACTCTGCTCCTGTCAGCAAATTTATATGAAACTCATAGGTAAAAGTTCCCTACTCCCGCTAAGGGTGAACCATGTAACAGCACCAGCATAGCATCAACCTATAGCTGCCTTCTTGGTAGGGCTCTGTGAGGTGAATCTACAAGTTCCAACATTCCTGATGAACAAGGTGATGACAATAGGTGGGAACATGCATTTTCACAGTTTTTTTTTTTTTTTTTTTTTTTTTTTTTTTTTTTTGGTTTTTTTTTTATAAGCTTCAGAAGTTACACACGCCCAACGTTAGGAACTGTGATCATCAACCACTCGGGATCCAGGAGCTGCTGAACGAGGGTTGCACCAGCGCCTCTGCGCAGGCTGTGGTGCTGTTCTCACCACGGACGGGTGCAGAACGGCTCTCCCACGGGATCCTGCCTTGCTCGGGGCTCAGGACAGACCTTCTGAGGTGATGGGGTGGCTGCAGAAGCCCTTGCCTGGTATCCCTGCTGTCTTCTCCCCCTGCTGCTGGTCACAAGCTGTATCTATCATCCCACCAGCTAGATTTTCACAAGCACGTGAAATCAGAGCATCGTTTTCCTTGGGCTGACTTGGAACCTTTACACGCAGCATGGATAAGTGGCGAGCTCATGTGGCTGCACCTAAAAAGCTGCACTTCTACTTCAAATGTTATCCATCGCTTGATGCTCTAGCAAGCTACAGGTCAGCAGGCTAAAACCCAAGCATAAAACAAAGTTTCTTTGTATCTTGACTCCCAGCCTGTAACATGGAGATGATAACGTGAACGGTAGGAATCATGTTGAAGACACTGATGCTCTACTGACAAATTCTAAGGAACAGCCCATGATGAAAAAATTGCTTTCTGAGTTTGGATACGGTGCATTTAATATGGCACGAGTAATGAGAAAACAAGTCACTGAACAACTATTATGGTATTAATAAATGATTAAGCAATCACAGACTACAGTATTAAAGACACATGTATCGTAATCAAGCCACAATATTCACAAGGCTGCACTGAGAGCTAATTGGGGAATTCCTATTTTTGAGTGTTCGACTTCAAACATATATATAAAGCATATATAAAACAGTTACACTTGCATGCGACGCAAAGCAATGATCATATTGGACACGGCTACTCGAGACAAAACAAGCAGCTTAGTGGGTGAAACCTCCAATTGGGAAATGTGATATGGAGTAAATAATATTTTGGAAAACTATTACAGCTAGCATGCACAGGTGAAAAAAATGCATCAAGTTATGTAGGTGTATTTCAAAACCAATAGTGGACAAATAGTTAACAGCAAGGAATATTAGTATATTGCAAACTTGTGAAAAAAGAAAAGTAATTAAGCAATTTCTAAACACTTGTGAAGAGGACATGAGAAGTAAGTTGAACTTGTGAAGAAAGGCAATTTAGTCCAGAAAAGACATTTAAATGTTCTCAGAAATAAAATAACGAGTTAGCTGTGGTTACAAAGACTGTGTGATGTAGGCATGAGAGATGCAGTCCAGCTAACAGACAACATTTACTGAGGGTTAGATCGACTTACCGAAAGTCATCCAAACTCAGGCTACTTCTGCAACAACAGGCATACAAATTACCGCAGAGCCCAGGGAAGAATAACAGAAATATCCCAAACTTGAAAGACGTATCCCAAGCCAAACAAACTACAACCTTCACTATAAATTAATCAAAAAAGATTTAAAGTTTCTGACCTAAAATCTTAGAAAATGAAATGCTAATATCCAAGAGATACTAAAATCACCAGTGTCTGCACATCTGATTAGCAAAATCACCCTTGAATTAAAAAAATTATTAGACTTTAGAGTCTTCACTGACATTCAGGACAAGCAGCTACCAGTTTAAAAAAAATGTTTCCCATTCTTAAAGCTAACTGTGGTGGTAAGCTAGAAGTAAACATTTTCTGTGTTCAGAAGTCACGTAGTCTAGTTCACTTGGTCAATACAAAGAAAAGGCAGTTGACCATATTATACAGCAGAAAAATCTTTGTGTTAGATATAGTAAAGAAAGTAGCTACTATAAACTCAGAATTTGATAGATCCCAAAAGAAACACAGACTTCATGAGTGTTCAATTGTTTTTGCCGCGGTGCTTAACTTGAGTCACAGAACCACCAGCTCTGTGATTCCAAGAGAGAGGGGCTCAGAGGGACCCACATTGATGCAGTCACTGCACACATGGTTTGTCTTTAACTCACAGGAGCTACTGAGCTCTGAACAAACTCATACATCATATTGCTTATGGGATTTGAGCTCTCAAATTCCAGATTTTATTTTAGAACAGGAACTGCTTCTAAGGCATCTAAGACACCTTTTCAATTATGTTAACTGCAAAACTGGAAACCTCGCCCAGGCAGTGGAAACTGATGCTGACAAACAAAAGCAATCACATTGCATGCAACTGCTTACAGACTTTTCAATCTGTTTTATTCCTCATCACTCCTCCAAACTGTTAATACTTCCTTCTATTTGGACTCTCACTTGAAAAAATGTTTTAACTTTATTGTGCTCTCAAAGATGAAAAATTAGAATATTATGCTGCTGTTTTTATGCACGGTCATGGCAGGTAGAAAAGCAAGGCAGGTATTTAACAATCCGGAAGTCTGGGCAATTGCCCCACACAATAACCCCTCACCACGTCCTCTCTTCCATATGCCCAAATTTAAAGTCACCAGAATCAGAACTTAAACCCAGTCAATTAGTCACGTGGAAAATACCAACGAGAGAGCTAAACTGCTGCCAGTCACTGCTCAGTTACCAAGACTCCAAAAATACTTGGAATTTCTCATTTATTGCCAACGTGGTTTGCATGGGACATTATTTTCCTCATCTGTACATTAAAAAATTAAGATTTTTTTATACAGGTAATTGAAATAGTGCTTCAGAACAGAAACTAGGCACTTTCAGACAACTCTTCCTACCTTCCCACTGCATTCTCCAAAACAGGCTTCATAAAAGTAAGTTTGGGGCCTTCCCAGAAGTGAAATCTTTCAGCACTTGGCCTACACGCATTCCCTTAGGCCTTCCCATCTACTGCTTCATCTCCCGGGCTTTTTCATCAGCAGTATCCGTGCAGTACCCCAGCAAAGCACCAAATCAAAGATACAGAAGACAAAGCTCATCTCTTTGCCTGTGATTTCTCTCCACTGGAACTAATGCTGGGAGAAGGGAGAGAAGGCAGGAGGAGGCATGTGCATATGGATAACATCTGTAATAACTCTGTAAGCAATTTACAGGGGGCAGACTCCTAGGCTGCAATCAAACTCTCTGCAGGCAGGAGCTCTGTTTCCCTGCAGTGCTCACCGAGGCACCGCTTCAGACACGCAGTATCTCGTATCACGAGCTGCTGCACCTACTCAGGCACTCAAGTCGTGCTGAAATGGGAAACAGATCCACTCCCAGCAACGCCAAGGATGCTCCTTGAACTGCAGAAGAACATGTTGCAGCAGTTCCCCAATGCATCAACTGTGGTTATTTTGTAACCAGAGATCTGCCTCGAAACCTCCAGGTAGAGACTGCCTGTAACTTCATTCGTCTTACTTGAAAAGTTAAGCGCCGAGGGGGTGACCTAAAGGGTTTCATGCTTTTACTAGAATGCCAAGATTTAAGAAGTGCAGCACACAATAACCTCCATCCTTTGTACGAAACTTTGGGGGATAGATAGCAGAAGACAGATTTATGGGTCTGGATGAAACCCTGCAGCCATCTTCAACAGAAGCCTGAGTGTGTTTTAAGGTTACCACTCCCAGTGGAATATCACAAAGGGAAGAAGTGCAGCCGGCCTAGCTGCCTCCCATGTTCCTCTTTGCTAAGGAACAGAGTGTGTCAGCACCAAGTCAAGAGAGCTACTCCACAGCCAGAGTCCTAGATCCACGAGAGCTGCCAGGACTATGTGGAGATGTCGCAGATGGATCTCGTGGAGAGAAGAACCGTGTAAGCCTTTCCAAGAACATAAGCAGAGGTGAGAGGGAAAGCTGAAGAAGTTGATAAGCTGCTCTTCCCCCTCTAGAAGGTAATCTAAGACAACACACACTGGTATTTTCTACAGTATTGTGGATCTTTTCATGTGTTCATTCGGTGTTTCATACACAGAAAGAAAGCCTGCACTCAAAAGAGTGCTAGGAGAAACTCACTCTTCAAAGAGAAGCACCTACTATGGCCACCACTACCACCAGTTTAATGGCCAGCAGTAGTAACAAGGGACAACGGAGACAGTGCTTGACACTCCAGCTACAGGAAGCCTGTTGCTTGCCAAGGCACAGCAGGGAGAAAGATGAAGAAATATTTTTCTGTCTCCCTCTCTGTTGATATAAACACAGCAAAAATTACATTATCTGCATCATTTTCCCAGTGTGAGCTCCATGAACGGTTTGGCTTATAAACCTTGAAATTTGCTCCTGTCCTCTTCTCCAGAGGAGATACTTGCTCTTCTCCTGCTCTGCAGGCCTTAGGAGCCTGAAGGTCCTCTCTAAACACATACCCAAACTAAGAGAGGATGCCTGTGACACTACACTAGGAATAGGGAGAGTTGGGGAAAGGAAAACACATTTGACCTAGGAGAAAAGGCAAAACCTTCTTGTTATAATACCAGGGGATTCACACAGCACAACCAGGCTAAATAGGCTGGACACTGTCTCCACTCCTGTATGACTTGCAACCCAACATGACCCAGCTCTGTACCAACAATAAGGTATTTATATTTACAGTAACTGTAAATCACTGTTTCTTTTCTTTTGTTGTCATTATATATTTATTTTCCCCATTCCCCTTCTCAAATGCTAAGGTCTGTATCATGGTTTAAGTTCTTTTATGTAAAAAAGCAAAGGATGATGTTGGATAATGCTGCTTGGTCCTCCAACAAGTAACCTGTCTATAAAAACAGTACAGCTAAAACGTAGTCCAATCAGTATCAAGCACCAATAAAACCCCGATGGCTTAATATTTTGAAACTTTCAACCAAAAAGCAAACACAGAAAATGTAAAAGATTCTGCCAAACGTACCTGTTAAACTTCGAATTGCGTGTGGGTGACTCTGCTCCTCTCAAAAGGTGCCTAAAGTACTACAAGGGGACACAAGAAAAAAGTATCAAAGCATTGGCCTCCTAGCACAAAGGCTGCGATGCAACAGCACTGCACAAGCCGGGAAGCAAGGCCAGAAATAAGTAAAAGGCAAGCTGACTTTATCCAGTTAGGTTAAGTTATTTATGTGGTAAAAAGACATAATACATCCTCCCAAGGGCTAGTTGTTTTACATGAATTAATCTTGGGACTAAAAGATGAAAATCAAAACAGAAATAAAACTAAAATTAAGCCCCATAACCCATGCCTCTTCCTTGCAAAATATGTATTTGAAGCATTATATTATTATTGAAATGTGCCATCAACACCGTCTTTAGTGGAGGCACTTTATGAAGAACGACTCCAAGGTAAACACCCCATTCCTAAGACAAGTCCATATATTCTGTCTTGGTGACACAGTGACATATGACACGCACAGAGAAGCGTGGTGATTTTAACACACAGCCTGATTTATGCACACAAACTCTAAAGGTGACAAGAATTCAGACCCACTTCTGAGCTTAAGTGTTTCCTATGGGAAGACTTCAGGCAGCTGCCTGCTTGTTATGGGGAATTTAATCTACTTTCAGAACCCAGTCTGCTCCAATAATGACGGGATCTGTGTTTCCCTAAAGAATCCTTTGAATCACCTTCCTGAAAAAAGACACCTTAGGAAATGGAAATGCTTAACAAAAATACCAAAGTAAAAACTCTGAATCTTCTAAGTACTTTCATATTTTGAAAACTAAATAGAGTCTTAATTCAGTTTCATGTCTATTATGCCTATTAATTCCACATTAAATGTGCGGTTGTACAAGGAGGGGAGTCTTCTGTAATAGCAGTGATATTTTCTAATTATTACACCAAAAAAAGAAGTTTTTTTTTTTTCCTTTTTGTTCTACTGATGATGTGTCAAGGCAGAATAAACCCAGTTTTCTTAGTGAGATTTGTCCTGGCTCTGCAGTACCAACTAAAGTGGAAAACAAAGGTATTTTTTTTGTTACACATGCACATGCTTCCTATATAGAGGACGCCTTAAAAATTCAATCTTTCTTTAAGACCTCAAAACTTTCATGCTTACCTCATCACTGTGACAAAACATAGGAGTAAAAACATTCTCAAGGAGAGAAAGAACATGCTCATAAGCTTCAAAAAGACATCTCATCGTTTGAAGTTTCACAACATCCACATACGGCCCTTCAGCAACTACAAAAAGTTTGCAAATATAAGTGATGTTAGTTGTTTTCCTTAACTGTAAACTAAATGTTTCAAAACTTAGGTTTTGTTTGCTTTGCAAGCTAGTGCAAGTCTTACACATAATTTCTTAAAACAGAAAAATATTGACAAGGTAAGGTTTAAGCATAACATATTTTTAAAAGCATGATAAAAGTAACGTGCTCTAATTCCACTGTAAATGATTCCTTTCAATTTCAAACTTACTTCTTTGAATCTCTTCCACTATGAAAGGATCAAATCTAATTTTGTCAATGCTTTCATCCAAACAGTAAGTTTTGTAAATTTTCTGCACTTCCTCATGAAGAGCCATCTTCTCAGTATCCGACAGCTCTGGTCGCAGAATTCGGTCATTGAATTCCTCTAGGAAACAGGGGAAAGCAAATGCGGATCAACTTGGCAAAGTAGTGGCATGGTGTATAACAGACAGATCTGGTGCACACCAACGGATACAATCATTCATAAAAATGTAAAACAAAGAAATAAAAGACATCTAGAAATCTCAAGGTAGCCTAGTTTTTATTAAAAATCAAGTTTATTCATAAAATTAATTCTCAGAAATACTGTCATTAAAGCTCGCTATTCCTCGTCACGGCAAAAAAACATCGTCAAAACCGGGATTCCTGGCAAGAGAACAGTTTTTTTCTTTTTGGATTACTAATGTGGAAATGATCATTTCTTTTAGCAAGGCTTCCAGTTCAAGCTAAACGTACAGAGAGTTTCAACAGAGTTTAAACCAGTCATCTACCCATTCTGCTGCTACTTCATTTCTAAGATCCAGCAAAACTTCTCCATGCATTCATCAGCTTCTTTAATATCAGGCTAACTTGAGAATGAACTTCCCTTGCCTAGAAATCCATCCAACACAATCACTGTGTCACCCTAGCAAACCTACTGTTCCTCTCATTCAGGGCACTAGCACGGCCAAGAAAGAGGAAAGAAAAATAAGCTGGGATTCACTTGATTTCTTCAATTATTGGGCTGAAACAGACTCTATCAATAGAGTTCTCCAACTCCATACCCGAACTGCTTCACATTCAAGATATTTCTCTCTACCTAGTAAATAATAATCAAGAGTAGAGACACCGCCTGAGCCAGTATAACTTGAGAGAGCTGAAGCAGGGCAGATAATCCTACCCTTTGTTTTAAAAGCTAACACAGAACCTTGACACTTCAGAGTGCAAGAGACAAGCCCCGAATTTAGAAGGTGCTCAGAGCTGAACACTGATCCCTGGCAATATCCATAGTTTGAGAAACACTCCGGTCCTGGGAAGCAGCTCTAGAGCAGCTCAGGATACAGCCCATACACCAGGAACTAATTCATTTTTGGCGGGGTAAAGAGCTTTTCCCAACAAAAACGCCAATGTGTTTGGAAGGATTATGATCCCTTAAGAAATTGTATGCAGAGAGATTATTTCACCAGAATCACAGAACGGTGATCTGAATATTTCTGTTTCTTTCAGGCAGCTATTAATGATTTCTGCAGTATTCTATGAGATAAAAGTCTGCCTCGTATTTAATTTCACATCTTCCTGCTGTATGTATAAGTTTAGGATAAGACAGAACCATTATTTTCCAGGCAATATAGACGTATTTGCTTGCCTTTGCAATAAACAATGACAGAAATCTTTGCAGCTATCTTTATTACTGTATACCACATAATGCCATAAACTTTAACGATGTGGAAAGGCCCAGATCACTGTAGTGGCAATACGGTTAAATGGGAGGCAAGTTTTAACACAGGGGTGAGAGAAGAATTTATTTATCATTATCCATCATGTTTTTGTAACTACTGATCACCCAGGAACATTCCTCCTCCTGACTGGTTACACATGCACACGCACACACATGACTGTGTATACAGGTGTTTGCCTATGTGAACACACACATATATATGATCTTGACAAAAATAAAGTTCTCTTGATAACCCACTAAACTAACCATTGGAAGGAGGAAAAAAAAAAACTGTAAATTATGGAAATTTCATAGAAAAAAGCCATCTAAAAACAGGGGGTTTTCCAGCCAACACTTTCGTACCAGGAAAAACAAACACCGATTTCATAATTGAGGGACAGGTTTTCAAACAGGAGGTTTCAACAGCTTTAGCAGTCGTGCTGTGTTTCTGCTTTGTACACACATCAGAACCTGAGGTCCAGAAGAACATGAAAAGCTTCTTATGACGTGCAGCTCGTTTAGAAATACTTTAAGAAGGACATATTACAAAAGGCAGACTTATCTTGTATAAGCAGCTAAAACATTTTTTCTTACAGAAAGTTTCTACTTTAAAATGCACAATCTTTATCAATAAATTAGAAATACAATTAAGAGCAAAAACCCACAATGACATTAACACTATCAAGATCAGCACTAAAGAATCAGGACATGATGAAGTAGCTGAACATAGATCCTGAAACTTAACCTCTTGCTTAACACTGTCTAATTCAAAAAAAAAATCACTAGAACATGCAAATTCTTAAAGCTTTTGAAGACCAAATACAGCTCAGTTATTACATATGTAACCTTACCTACAGTCAGGCAGAACTGCAACACGTGGACCGCTCCTTCCTGTTTCAGGAAGTTCATAAATCGGAATAAAAGGTCTTGCTGATTTCTGATCTCCTTCAGCTCCAGTTTCAGGACCTTAAATAGGTCAAAAATGCAGTCACTTTTCAAACTTTAACTAAGAATAAATAATGGAAAAAGTTGTAGAAACAAGGACAGCAGATAAAGCAATAAACATATTTAAAGAGCAAAAAAAAAAAAAAAGATTTCTTTACTTACAGATGTTTTTTTATTTCTTGGCTCTGCAAATTTCTGTAGGAATGGAACCAATGAAGAAGTGGGCTCTGTTGCTTTCTCAGGCTGTCAAAGTGATAAAAATTGAGCAAGAATGCTTAATGAACAGGTGAACACGCAAGATACTACTGTTTTAACATTGCCAATACTCACTGGACTATCATCAATGAAGATCAGCAGCAAGTGGTTGACAGTGTCCTACAGAAAAACACAATACAAAATTAAGGTAAAAAAAAAAAACGAACTTGATGAAAATAGTTTCATTTTTATGTCATTTCCACAAACCTGCAAACATATTAGCAATACTAAAAAAAAAAAAAAATCTGTCTTGAAAGTCCTCCAAGTATTTACACAGCAAGGAATTTCAAGAGATCTGTACCGAAACATTCTTCATCTGGTGGAAGAAAACAATGCAAGGCATTTTTGCTGTTAGTGAAGGTCTAACAAGCTACTGCTTCTTGCACAGTTACAGTCCTTCCTGCTTGCAGCTAGGTGATATATTTATAAGTACAGCAATTTCACCTATTATATACATAAAAATAGAAAAAAAATGACACTATCCCACATTCAGAAATAAATCCTTTTTTTTTTTTTTTTTTTAGCAGAGTTAAGGACAAAACAATTGGTTTCAATAGAGCAACAAAAAAGTTGGATAGCTTAGATTGCTGTAAAAATACACCTACAGTTAAGTAACTGAGTCCTTGTTTAAATATAGTTATCATCATCATGAAGGCGCTTATATTACTGCAGCCTTCTCCCATTTTATGGGAATTGTTGTCTTTTATTAAAAACACAGTCTTAAGAGATAGTGCCCAAAGTGCATTTTATATGAGTCCAATCTGTTAACCAAACCAAATAATACACAAAGGAAAAAAAGAACTGGGTGCAATGTTTCTTGCTCTTTTACTTAGCCCAAGCTACAGCAAGTAAGCCCCTGTACACAGCTGATTGCACCATAACACACTGCTTGCTTAGGAGGAAAATAGCAATACGGAAAATGCCTGCGCTCCAAAGTCTTACAGGATCGGCTAAGAAGTCCATAGAGGGAAGGAAAACAGAACCAGGCAGGATCTCTCTTATAAGAAGTGCCAATGATCTGTGGAGGAAAAAAAAAAAAAAACAGAGATATATTTTAGCATTTTCTCAGAAATATATTTCAGTGTTTAATAGCACCTTAAGTGTGCTGAAATATTTTTAGGAGTGATCACAAATACCGCTCTCACCATGCAAAGGGCTACCACTAGCCTTGAACATGCAACCCAAGGGATAATATGGAGAAAACTGTACACACCTAGAAGAAAAATAGCATTCTGCTCTCCTATTTTCTAGCAAGGATTACCCCCAACATGCTATTATACAAAAGGAGAAAACGATCAGCACCAGCATTACACAGGATGGAACTTCCATGGGGAAGAGAAGGTGCCAGTGCAGTTTAAAGAGTGGATGCAAGTATGGCCTAACAGCCCTGACTATGACAGGCTGAGACTTCAACAATCTTGACCCATCTACATCCACGTTCTCCCCAAGGCCTCTTGGAGGAGGCCCTGAAGGAGACCTCTGTGCACACAGAACATCCAAACCAGCCGAGAACACAACCAGGGAAAATTCTAGGCAAAAGCCCATCACTTACTGGGCACTTCACTGCATGGAAAACAAACTAAGGATTCTTTCACTCCCCCAAATGATAGCACTACATACGTAGATACTTCAACAAATACTACTCTAAATACTTTTTATACCTGCACTCTGTTGATTTGGGGGGTAAAATATAAGGAAAAAGTAGTTCAGTAAGTTTTCTTAAGTAGTGAAGTTCATCTCTCCGACTTCTCAAAGCAACATGGAGCTCTGGTCCATACTCTTCTAGCGCAGCTTGCTGCAAAAATTCTGCATTTTTCACTGCGAGTAAAAGACAAAATATAAAATTACAATTGTTCCATTTTTTTCTTATTGCAAAACAAGAGGAGATTGTTTTTCCGTTTTGTCTTAAGAAGTTCATACTTTTAGCACATGTACATAAAATTACAATGTAGTAACTTCACAAAACAACTGCCTTGGCTTAGACTTTGAGGTTTGGCTATGTAAACATTAAGCCTCACACAGAAATAAGAATTCTTTCATCAAAAAGCTGCAATTTGCAGGGTTTCCAGAATATTTTTTTTATTTGTAATTACCGAAGAGCTCAACAATTTGATGCCTTTAAAAAGAAACATGCTCCCGAAGTCTACCTCTGCTTGCTTTTGGCCAAGCTTCTCCTTTTTCTACAATTTATTGTGCTTTTACATATTGACATGCCTAAAACACAAAACTTTATTTATTCAGTCATGTTACATGTTTCCTGCTTAGAATATTTAGAAACAAACATGAAGGAACATTTCTTTTAAATATAGTATAAATCAAACTAAAACTGTCAAGGGAATGTGGAAGAATGCTGCAGGTAACTGTTTGCCTTTCTTAATACATGATTTATCAAGTTAAGAACTCTGCATGTTAATTGGCAATATCTATTTAATATTCCTTCAAATCACCTCAAGGGAAGGAACTGAGCTGCAATAATTCACACCTAGTCATGTTAACAATCCAACACAGTCTCCACACCAAGAATCCCAAAAGCAGATCTGGGATTTACAGGCACAATATGTACCTGTAAATCAGAAAATTAAAGCTCGTCTTAAACACACTTTAACACATACAGAAGTCAGCTGGCACGTACTTCCAAGCTGGCACTTCACAACCAAGAACAGTATTGGCTGCTGTGGGACACAGGAATGTCTCCTGCCTGCTAAAATCTGCCTGGTTGGTGTCACTTAAAGCAGAGAGGAGGAAAAATGAATTCTGGATTCTGACTACTGAATCATCTGTGCAAACAGTTGGGATTTATAAGGAGAACTAAGGAATCATGAGGGGACGTACAGGTTAAGAATGGGAAGAAAGAGATGGGCCTCCTAGAGCAATCTTCTTAAAAAGGCTACAAAAGTCAACAAACAGGACAAATTAGGCTCAGTCAGTTGCCAAAGCAAGGCTAGGAAGCTACCTCTGAACCATGTATGGTGCAGGGGTGGCTGTTAGGAACACTTGCTAGAAAGTTCTGTAAGAGCAGTCACTTTCAGCTGCTACTTGCCCTCAGGGAGAAAGCCCTTTCCTGGAAAACACTAAATTTTTGATATTTTTGATGCCATGCACTGAAAAATCTTTTTTTTTTTTTTTCCCTGCTAGAAAGAACTAGTAAAAAAGTTTCTACTCCTTAAGAGAAATCAAAACCAGAATGAAATCCGGCATAAACAGCACAGCAAGATAATCCTGTGTGTTGAACCTTCTGCTGTGCCACAAAAAGAGGATTTCATGTGCTCACAATATACCTTCAAAGTCAAACAAGTATTTATGTGTATCAAGGAGACATCTTAAGGGTCTATAATAAGAGGACATTTTGAGGCTAAGGAGGAAAAGTTCATGACTAAAGTGAGAGCAAACAGCTACGTTTAAAAGTTGAATGAAAACAGATTTGAGTAGACAATATTGTGGAACACAGCCAGTATGTGTGCATGGGGAAAAATCAAGGTAACTCATTTTCCAACACCAAATACACTGTTTCCCAAATATGCTTTCAATGTGCAGTCTTAATACATTTTTTACATTAAGTTGTGAAGATATCCCTATTTTGGATAAGGATTAAATAGGCTACTACTCAAAATCTCTCCATGGTTTATAAACATAACTCCAACACAATCAGCAGCTCCACTAACCACTCACATTAGAGTCATCAAATTGGAAATGTTTTAGTCTGTAAATAAGCAGAGTTCTAAAAAAGCATCAGAGCCTTGTGTCAAATTAAACATTTGCATTCTTCACACATTAGGACTTAACAAACAAACAAACAACCTTATTTCTCTTCTTGTCCTGGTTAAATGAGTGGAACTTCTTTTGAAGAACTACCAAAATGCAGGTATGTTACTTTTGCAGCTGTGCCTACAGTTACTACTCTCAACACCTAATATTTGTCCAGTGGTTCTTCAGTAACTCCAATTACATTCGTTTTAAGATTTAGTAACTTGTGGACATGAAAAACAACTCTTGCTGTAGGAGTAACAGTGCAGTGTGTTTATTAGATACAGACATTTCCCTTCAATTATAATTGTTCCCCTAGAATACAGAGGGAAAAGTTCAAGAAAGTTGATGACGATGCAGGATGAGCTTGGCTGCTCTGAGTAGACAAGAACATGTTCCTGTTTACTACAAAGAGGGAAAAGAAATATTTCAAAATTATGGGGATAAGTGAACGTTGAACTTCAAAACAGACAAGATTTGTATCAAAACTTTTTCCGTATTTATCTGCACCCTCCAGAAGACAAATAAAAGAAAGAGGTGAAAAGATTAGGCAAATATAATGACAAACATGTAGAAATAAACTTGCCATTTTAAATTGATAATACCTTTCTGCCTGGCTTTGGCTATTACTTCTATGTGTTTCATTGCTGCCTTGAGCATCTTCCTTGTTACAACAGTTGGGACATCCACCTAAAGAGAAATTTCAAAATGAGAGAGAATAGTGTTTTTCTGTGATTTTTTTTTGTTCTTTTTTTCTAAAAAAAAATTCAAGAAAAAAATACTCGACATAATTTGATTATACAACGCCATTCTAATCATAAAATTAATCCTCTAGATATAACAAACTAATTCACTACAAAAGCTGACAGTATACTCCTTCTCTGGGCAAGACAGACAATATTTGCAATGAAGTGTCATGAACAGTCCTGTTCACACCTCTACTGTCATCCAGTTCTCCCTGCACTTTTTCCACAGCAATAATTACAATCTTACAGCTTGGTTACCTACTCATTGCAAGACGAGCACCCATTCCTGCATGGTCTCCCATAGTATTTGAGGTGCAGCACCTGGCTAGCACCTGGCCCACTCATAGAAGCAAGTACTATAGACTAGAAATTGCTAAAAGTAACTAAATCAAGGTCAATTCCAGTTTGTAAGCAAAGAAGTAGGGGCTACTAACACACCCAACCCTGATATGGCCATAACAAGAAAACTCTAGAGCAGGCTCTAGTGCACAGAAAAATAAAGCATACTCTGTAAGAGCAGAAGACTGCCTTTAAGTAGTGCTCATTATTTTTTTAAACAGTCACACCTAAAGAAAAAAAAAAAAAAAAGAAAGAAAAAAGAAGCCATCTAGGCATCCTTACATAGAAAGGCAATGGCTGGAACTGAATAATCCCTCAGAGATTCTTTTATCTGAAACAGTTTTAGGTCTTAACTAATAAGCACCGATTTTTTGCCTTGCACATCTACTCTCATTTCTAAGCCTATTTCACCAGTTCAGGCATCACAGCCCGTAGTCCAGGCTGCCTCTGCCTGTGCAAGGAGGGCATGCACATACATACCAATATTTTGCTGAGCATAAAAGGTATGGCTGGAAAGTACAGTACACAGCATGAGATGCCACACTCTACTGCATCATGGAGCACACTTAATTTCCCTTCTAGTCCAAAATACAGAGTCCTACAAGTACCATTTCATCCGAAGTACGTACTGCACTTCACACAAAGAGACAAGATAAATTATTACATAGGATGTATGCAAATAAATCTATCTGTAATGACAAATGAACTGCAGTGACATTCTTCATTTTTGTAGTCTCCTGTGCCAGTGTTAATACCTTTGCAGTTAGGACGTCTTTGAACTGTTTTTGCATATATTCTGTAGCCAGATACACAAAACTGAATATATTATTTATACTTGGCTACTGCCAGAGCAGATACTGAAAATTATCACTTTATTACAATTCAGACTGGCTGGCAAAAATGATGCAGGAGACAACACAACTGATACCTTATTACAACATCAATGAAGGAGGCACAGTCCCAACATCATTCTTTTCTGGACCAACAATAAATTTACCAGCATTCCAAGTAACTACTGCAAGCATCAGAACTACAAATTAATTTTTAAGATTTGCTCTATATTTTCACTTTGAAAGATTTACTTCTGCTTCACACCACCAAAATGTCTCCGCTACCCAGAACATTTACTAATTTTCCCCCACATTAAGTTGAAAAGCAACGTGCTCGAACTACCATGAACAAGAAAGTCATCTGGATTTGATATACAGCAAGGACAGAATCGGGCCATTAATCAGGCATGATAGAGTACATTTACAGCTTGCAGCTTAGGAAATATTGTTGTTACTAGGGAGGGGAAAATGTCTCATACCCACGCACACACTTCTGGTAGCAGCTCCAGCAGAGGGGCCAACACTGAGGAAATCTGAAACTGAGCTAGCATCAATTCCTGCTTATCACAGCCAGAAATTTAGAAGTAATTCCTGTAAAAAGGCTTATAGCACTTCACCAGAGAACACCATGGTGCTTGTGCTAATATATTAAACACGGTTAACAGGTAATTTGAATCTTTAATATTTAATCTTCAGAACTTTTTTTAAGCACCAGCTCAGTAAATGACTCACAGCTACTCCAGCTCTTACAGGGCACTCTCCACTTACTTGGTCTCCTATTCATGAACAGTGAAGGACCTTGACTGTACTCAAAGAACCAAGGAGAAGCCATGAAGACAAGTACCCTGCTCACCATTGTCTAATAATTCTTTTTCTTAATTGTCAAAATTATTTCTATTTGGATTAAACCACTAACAAGCACGTAAAAGACCAACCCAGGGTTTTAAAAATGCCTTGCACCGCTATGAGCAAGATCTTCACTTGCAAGAATCTTCTTGCAAGACAGCTTCTAACGAGGAATAGGTTAAAATCCAAAGGGAGAGAATAGATAAGCGCAAAGAGGAAACTTCCTACCTGGTTGCAGGATTGATTTCAGAATCATAATTTAAAAAAAAAGAATTAAAGAACTCTTTGGTTACAGATGTTATTTCAAATGGAAACTGAGCACTAAATCCTTTAGGCCTCTTTACCTTGTGGATTCTCCGAACCAAGACAGAGGCAAAGAAGCGCAGCGTGCCCCGCAGCTCATCCACCGAGGATTCATCATCAGTGATGCTTCTGCAGAGACACAAACCACAGCGTGTAAGAAACCAGAGGAAAACATCACATTAATCCAACACATTTAGCCCTGCTAAAAGCTGCAAGGAGAACATTCAATGGTAATATTTCAAGACATATTAAGAAAAATGAAAGCCACGGAGTGGTTCCATCTCCTATTTGAGGAGAGGAATAAAAAAAAAAAAAAAAAACAGGAAAACAACCCTCTTTTTCCCCCACTCAGTATTCCCAGGAATTCTGCATGTGTAGCAACAGCTTAAGAAAAATGTCTGAATGTAAGTTATATATCGATTTATGCTCTGTTAATAAAGACCTGCATAATTTTGACAAAGTAGTGTTATCTAACTCAAGTTTCCATATATATAAAAGCAATGACTGTTTCCTCCTTCCATGGCACGCAGTGAGTCTGGATTAATAGCTGCAAGGCCTTGGGAAAAAGCAGCACTGCGAGCATGTGTCCCAGTTAAGCAATTCAAACTGGGTTTCCATAATACCTACTCCAAGACCTTCTATACTGCAAGATTTCAATTAATTTTTCTTCTGTTCTCTAGATGCAGATTTGGCCATGTTAATTTTATTCTTTAAGTTTCATTACACACTTGGGAGTTTTCCATATAACCTCTAACGAAATGGGACAGATCCCCAGTATTTCAGCTGAGCCTCTTCCAACAGCAAACTTGCATCAGCCTTTTTTTTTCCAAACACATTCCAATACTTAGATGACATTTCATACTATATTTCCTTTCCCTTTCTTGTTTGACCAGAGATGGTCATTTCCTGGAAGGAAAAAAAGAAACTGATAAAGGTTGGTCTGTATGTAGGAAAATTGAATATGCTAATGACTATTCATTTTTTGAAAAGTTTCATCGTAGCCTGCATTGCAAAATTCTTTATTACTCATAAACTAAACAATTGAGAAACTCAACATATTGCTGCCTAGAGCAGAGCTGAAATTATTTAATATGGTTACTGCTCGGAAATAAACAGAAATTAAAGAAGAATTTGAAACAGATTCCGAAACCGCTGAGTCAAAGTTCAATCTAACTTTAACCTGGCTTTCCAAAAAAACATGTAAAAATATTTTAAGTTAACTATAGAGGAAGAATTTCTATTTCCTTGTTATTTTTAATAATGTATTTGCCATTTTTACTCAGTTTAACTGTTAGGTGAAGAAAATGCAATTGAGTAGAAAAATAATACTAATAGCCTTCTTTAAAATGCAATAGAAAGAAAAAGATACCAGCATTTAAGTCTATATGGATATTAGAAAATTAGTAGTTATTGATAAAACTGTATTATAACAGCTGAGCAATGATACACCAAAGACAGGTAGATCCTGCTTGGGATAATGACCACATGCAAAAGCCACTGAAGCTTTAAGTAACAACTGAGCCTGTATTTGAATTAAATGCAACTGCCACTTGTATTTTTAAAGTTTCAGTACAAGATAGAACAATGTTTGAAAAATACAGAATATTTTATGCCCATATCATCACATTGCACTATTCAGCATCCAGTTTTTAAAGCAGTGTTGGCCCGGGATATAAAGCACCCAAACACGTGTTGAAGGTGAACTGTTCTCCACAGACACTGGTGACCTGTCCACAGATGTGCACAACTGATGGCATGAAAAGCACCTTTTCCTGCTGGGGAAACCTTCCCCACACCTTCCCACACAGCTAATCCTATGGAGACAAGAGTACTATAGGACTTGGTTTTAATAAAAGCAGTTGACATTTTGGAAGCAAAATGGTTAGCAAAGGCTGTTCTACCCTACTGAAAGAAGCCAAGGGATCAGCAAACAAATTATATGCTGTATTATTAATATCTGACAGACAGCAAGATACATCAAGTTATTTGGACCAAAAATTGTTATTTTACTGCCACTTGGATCACCAGCATTTTGGCTAATTCTACTTGGACAGGACTATGTGACACGTACTTTCGTGACAAGCTGTAGGTTACAGAGACATTCCTTTAATCAGCAGCAGACCGAAGAGTGGTTAAAAGAACATGAAGAACCTGTAAAATCCCAAATCTCCAGTGACACGTTGGAAGGTCCAAGCAACTCGCTTGGAAACATTTTAAAAAGCGGATGCATTTTGCCAGGATTTTTAAGGAAGAACTTAAAACACAACATAACAGAGTTATTTGCTGAAATAAAAAGGCTTAGTCAGTTAATTGTAAACAGTTACTGAGTCAAGTGCCTCAAGAAAGATAAATGTAACTGCTCTTGCATGCAAAGTCTTATGTGATCTATGATAAATGAAATTATGTACAAATACTGAAGGGAATTCCTAATTTGACAATGATTCTTCCAAAATCTGGCCAACTCTCATCTCAAGGATGAAGAAAATAAGCTGCAAGCTGAGAAAAATGTAAAGCTATGGTTTGTTGTTCATCTTAACTCCTGGATTTTCAGTTATATTACTTGCACTTAAAACAGAAGTAGTTCCACGTCTAAAATCGGGCTTTTTTAGATGCTATCAAGGAAAGGGTTTCACAGCAATACGCTACAAAGACGCATTAAGAAAATAAACGTAAAATTCATAGTGTTTCCCTGCTCACAGCACTGCATTTCTGGAGCAGTGACTTCTACGATTCCATCTCACACGGATTCTTTGCAAGCAGCAACTGTCTCTGCACTTGGGTGAGACATTGGAGTGCTTTCCTAATATCCAGCACGTGCTGGATGCTGCAAGCCAGCATCAGCTGGCAGAACACGAGGAAAACAAACCTGCCTAAACTGCATTCACTGGGAAGTGGATCGGACAGCACACGGAACTGTTCCGAGATGCTTCTGAGAAGAAAAGCAGTACAAAAATATCTTTTATCAGTCTAATATGACAAGTCTGAGTGGCCTGCTGGAGGTTATACCCACACTGATAGACACAGCCTGGATGAAGAGCTCAGAAATGTTTCATGGATAAAACTGTCCCTTCATCAGAGTCAGAACAGATATGAGGATGGGGTAGGCATCCCTGAAGGAAAAGCTAGAACTAATATTCTCTATGGGACAAACTACAAGTAGCTGCTTTCACACAAAGTTCAGCCTTCCATGCTCTGCTGATCCTGGAAATACAGGAAAGCACAGAAATGTGTGAATAGCCCTCCGGGGAATGAATCACACCTGACATTACTGGTCCCAGGCTGATACGGATACGCCGTTCAGGACCGAGCTGCTTCCCGCAGAATCATTCCGGCAGCGCCGCGCTGCAACCCCTGCGCTGCCCAGCGCTGCTGCTTCACAGGGAGCTGCTCCGGTCGGATGAGGCCATGGAAAGCTGGGGAGCTGGCTCGGACCTGCAGGAGCAGCCTCGGAAAACCTCAGGCACAATGCGGAGATAGGGGCGCACTCGGCAGCGGGCACCACGGGCAGACGCTGCTGGGACTGGGCTCAGCCCGGCTCCACATCCAGCATCTGCCACATCCAGAGCACTTCCCACGGCACCCACAGCTGGGCACTAAGGGGCTCTGCTGGGAGCCCGGGCAGAGCCGAGTCCTGGCGAGTCCAAAAGGGGCCATTTGGAATAGGCTGCTCACCGCCAAAACGTCCTGCTCCGTCTCCTGACATGATACAACCATAAAGCCATGCAGCGCAGGAGACGGTACCTCATGTGGTTACTTCACCGCAGAGCTCAACAGAACATCCCCTAATTTTCTGCACTATGGAACTAAAAACCTGCAGTTTTCCAAACTGCTGGTTCACAATAAATGGTGCTCCAGCTCCCTCTGCTGTTTGCAGAAGCAGCTGCCTCCTCCAATGTATCTACGAATAGATGTGGACACACAGACGTCAGCCAGAACTGAACAAAATAGGCAAAAACGTCTGCCAGGAAATTTTACAGGCCACAGAGTTAGGAAAAATGGAAGAGTTAGAAAAAATGGAGTTAGAAAAAATGGAGAGTAACATACAAGAGAGAAGTCTACACTTATTTTAGAAAACTGAACTTCTCCACTGAATGAAAAAGTAAAATTAAGAATTAAAATACTGGTGTCCTTGTGCTTTATTTCATTTTGATTTTTAAATCCTGAAATAACATATTCATCTCAGCACGTTCAGTTAAAAATAGATTTTTTTAAATTTCCTACAAAGTATTAGTTTATATGAAAAGTTACAAGGCAGAAAAAAAAATCCATAGAGGCCACTGTCTTTTATTTATATGCTGGTTTGAAGCACTTTACACAAAAATACTCAACCAAGTTTCATGTAATTACTCATAGCCTTATAATTAAAGTTAACTGCTGCTCTGCAAAGAGGCTACTACCGTATTCAGAAATATCACACAGAGTATAAGCAAGCTACCTGTATCTCCAAATAAGAGCTATTAGGAAAGGAACATATGGAAGATTGATACTAAAACCATTTTTAGACTAAGTGCAAATTAAGTGCAGGATAATCACTACCAATTGTCAATCATGAAAAAAACCACATAGCACATAAGAGGCACTAACATGATTAAACTGATGCCCTGAGTGATGTTTATGTTGTTCAAATATAGTAACTTCTATGGAAAGTTCATACCTGTACCATGGATAAATAAAGTTTTCCAGCACCAGTTCAAGTACCTGTGCAGAACAGAAACAGTAATATTACAAAAGTAAAGTTTAACACAAATCCTTTTAGAAGTATTAAATCAAATACTTTCAAATCTCATAGAATATCATTAGTATAAAACTTTTAAGTACAAACATACAGTCCTACTGTGAAATCAACTGCTTTCCAGTGCTTCGGATTAACAGTAATTAATTGATTTTTTCATTAGATCCCACATGAAACAGCTGCCACTGCGATCAGCAGCAGCACAGTCTATTCTGTCAGGCAGCCACTATAAAAAGTAGAATCTAAAGGAAATATAAAACCTGTTTGAAAGTAAAACTGACTGTAAGAGAGGACAGTAAAAGCACCATTTACGAAAATAAGTGTTACTCTTCTGAGAGGCTGTGGTGCTACATACGCCCACCCTACGTACACACTGCAGGAATTCAAGCTCATTGCACAGGTTTGAGCTATCTTTAGGGCCTCCGCTCCACTCATGATGCGCTCAAGCTTAGTGAAATGAGTACCAGGGTTTTTTTTAGAATCTCTTTTTTTTTTTTTTTTTTTTCTGTGACTTGAGCAGTTTATGGAGCATTCTTCTTCCGTCCTCACCCCCAAGAAGATCGCCTACGCAAATCTGGTTAGGTACCCTCCTTTCTCCAATTGCTTTATTTTGGGATGTTCTTCCTCCCTTCCTTTACAAAAATGAAAAAGATTCCTCCTGCCCTCTCCAGAAAGAGGCTTTCTTTTCCTGAATAACTTTGTATGGTCCACATACAACACAGACGCCTACATTCATTCATGTCTTTTCTCCCTTTCTTTTCCTCCTCCCTTTTTTTCTATAGCAAGAATAGAATTTTAGTAGTTTTCTTAATAAGATTATTGCTTTAGGTTCCTCCATCCAACCTAAGACTTTTAAGAAGCAGTCCCAGAAACAAAGTTTTCCTGAAATGCTGAAATTTTGATGAGTGCATGTTGGTGATGGATGCAAGGCTAAATGCTTCCTGCCACACCTCCCCATGTCATACTGCCATTAAAAGACAAAGTTCCCTTCCCGAGACAGTAAAGATCAGGAAATGCCACAGAACCCTCTTCAGAAGTTAGTATTTACACATCAGGAGGCAGATCAAATCTAATTCCAGAGTGAGAAAACCCTGCCCTATGAGGCATTAACGGCAATAAATCAGAGCACTGTAGGCCTGATGGCATCCATACCGCTGCCAGTATATATAAAATACCAACTCTAGAAGTCTCAGTCTAACAGGTACTACAATATTATTTTTCTTCATCCAAGGTTTCTACAAAACCCTCTTCTTTTAGGATTCAAATAACAGGCTCTGCCTCAAAAAAAAAAAAAAAGAAAAAAGAAGTGCTTTCAAGAGGAAAGGCCTGCAGAAAAATCCATGCTGGGCATCTGCTTGGGAACCCCTTTTCTCTCTTTCTCCCTCCCTCCCTCCCTCCCTTCCTTCTCTTCCCCTCTTGCATTTTAAGAACAACCATCAAGAGCAACTACAGCGAATGGCCTGCCCTTCGCAGTGAGGAGCGCACTTGGAGAGCCTTCAAGCACAAGCCACCGTGGGAGTGGATTTCTGCGAGTGTGCTGGTCTGGGCTCCTCAGGACAAGAGGGACGTGGAGCTTCTAGAGAGGCTCTAGAGGAGAGCACAAAGATGACTAAGGGACTGGAGCATCTCTCGTATGAGGAGAGACTGAGAGCTGGGACTCCTTAGCCTGGAGAAGGCCGAGAGCGGATGTGATCCATATGTATAAGTACCCGAAGGGGGAATGTAGGGAGGAAGGGGCCAAGCTCTTCTCAGTGATGGCCAGTGACAGGACAAGGGGCAGTGGGTTTAAGCTGAAACACAAGAGGTTCCATCTCCATATGAGGAAGTTCTTCCCTGTGAGAGTGACAGAGCCCTGGAACAGGCTGCCCAGGGAGGCTGTGGAGTCTCCTTCTCTGGAGATCTTCCAGACCCGCCTGGATGCCGCCCTGTGCCCCGTGCTCTGGGTGTCCCTGCTGGAGCAGGGGGTTGGACTGGATAATCTCTAGAGGTCCCTTCCAATCTCAACCCTTCTGTGTTTCTGTGAGTGTAACGTGCCCTTCCTGAAAGTGCTCTGTTGGCTGCAGCTACCCTGGCGGACAGAAGGCCTCTCCATCAGGTGCACGTCACAGCAATTTTGGTTCATCAGCTACTAACATAACTTGCTGATGGTCTCTTAGCCTACACTTCAGAGGCTTCTGAAGTTATTAAAAGCATTATTTCTAACAAGTTACCCTGTTCTCGGTGTTAATTAAGCCAAAAACTTGCGGTTCCGAGAATCATTTTCTTGTAGTTATTACCTGTGAAAGAAAAGCTAAGAGGGGTGGAACTGCAAGACCTGATGGCTCTTCCCACCTTTTGGGTAAGATCTCCAGGAGATCCATTCTGTGCCTATTACGGATGTCTACTTAAGCCATGTCACAGACTCTTCAGTGGGCCTTCTATGTCCGATCCAAGTTAGGGCTCTCCTGTATTACTAAGGCAGGGCCATACGTAGGACTTAGGCAGCAAAAAGCCTATGTGGACAATCCTTGAGCAGTCAGGGACCCAGAGGCACCATACACAGAGGCAGACCAGAGAACCAGCTTAAAATGCTCTTGAAGCCTGCGCAGAGCTGAGAACAACAGTGAAACCTACACGCTGCTAGAGCCCAAGCTATCTGTGTGGCCACAGCAAAAACACCCTGATGCTGGACATGCTGGCACCATGAAGCTGTTTGCCCATTCTGCACGCACATGGCACTGCAGGTACACATGCTGCTCTGTGACACCAAAAGGCAACACTGAAATTGGGATGTTAAATCATCCACACTCCAAAATATAAGCATTCAGGGCATGACACACAATTCTCTGCCAGCAATGGGAGCTCAAGGCCTACAATCCATAAAAACTTTCTCTATGAACCCTATGGGTCTTCCAGATTACATTGATGTAAATATTTAGCTCAGAAAAAAAGAACTGTAAGACTATCCACAGCATCCTTATCAAGCACCAGGAAACGTTCACTGCCTTCTAGCCCTATAACATCAGAAATATCATCCAAACTCAGCTGTTCACACTGATCATGTGCACCAGTGGAGCGGATGGGACATCTCAGAGGATACTAGTCAACAAGACCCAATTTCCTTGTCTGTTAAGTTCTACTCATGGTTTCAGATATAAACAAGTCAGTTCATTCAAAGTCTGCTTGTTTCTCAAATGTTTTGCAGAATGACCGGTTCTCAATGTATGTACAGTTTTTAACTGGAAAGAAATTAAAAGTATAAAACCAAACGCAGTGGGTAACAGTATAAGAAACAGCTAAAGAAAGAACACAGAGAATTTACTTGCTATGCAAGTCCGTGTGCTGCTACAAGAGTTCTGGTTCATCAATGAGCACGTTCAAGACAGTATCTAATTTCTTCGTATTCATTTTTCCAGCAATACACCAAAAGGTTTGAATTACTTTTAGAAACAACAAAAAGATAAAATCCTGGTCTCATGCTAAAAGCAACAACTTGAGAAACTGAAAATCAATGAAAGTTTCATGAGATCAAGAGACATATTCCGTTATCCCTTTTCTTTTGTGATGCTGTGAAGAAAACCAACCAGCTCTATTTTCCAATTACACAGGCTTGATTAGTAGCAGTTAAACCTAAACTGTTCCGCACACAGCAGAATGTGAGATTGGAGGTAAAGAAAAAAAATTCATTAAAACTCAATTTCCTTCTATCCACTCGATAACACTTGTAAGTTTATTTAAAATCACCAACTGAAATCACACCTAATGCAAAATGAAAAAAAAAAATTAAAAATCAACAACAAAAAGAAAAACTAAGATAAAGCACAAAGTTTTTTTTTTTAAGCTATACTTCGGTCAAAACACTATTTTCATGCAGGACACAGATCAAAACATCAAATACTGATGGACCCATGGCTGATAACAACTTTGCTTATAATAATAACTGTAAATGAAGGTGGGTGGAAAGGTAAAACACGAGCTTTACTTACTGTTTTAAACCATTTACAGGAGCAGAATAACCAAAACAAGGTTGCAGAAACACTGAGGGACAGTAAAATGCAACAACCTGCCACCCCAATCCGAGAGAGAAAAATCTGTATTTATAGGGAAAGCTTGAATTTCTTCTGTTCCAAGGTTGCACTAAATTAGTCTGTAAGCACTTAAAAAAACCACCAGCTTTAAGACTACAACACTGGTTCAAATTAGAAACACTGGGAAATGAGAACGTTGCTAAAATTCTTCAGCTGGTAAAAGAACTAGAAAAAACTAATGTCCAAAAATCCCGCAATTATTCTGAATTACTTAAGAATCTGCTTTTTCAAAAGCCCTCCTGCTATCCCACACCTTTACAGCCTCATTAATCTTAATTCAGCTCTCTCTGTATCAGTTTCCTCCTAATGTATGATTAACCCATGGAAGAAAATAAGAGTAATCCCTCCCTCCGGCCCTAAGCAGGCTATCTAATTCCAGGCACCCATTAAGTGCTGCATCATCTCCAGGGCAGCCTTATTCCAAGGGAGTGGAAATGGTGACTCAGGTGCATAGGCAGAGTCTGTTTGGGACCCCTAAGGACTCTTACCCTGTCTCACTGCCTGGGGGCTGCACAGCACTCGAGTCTGGTACCTCCAGCCACAGAAAAGACAGGCATCAGAAGCATGGAGTAGAGATACAAAAGCCACATGTGAACTGCTCAAGAAGTGAGCGGGGGACACACCACTTAAGTTAAAAATCAAAAATAAATAAATAAAAAGAAGCAGTGTGGTAAAAGCAGAAAGACAGTAACAGCTAACAAATCTAAAAACATTAATGTGTGGCAGCATCTTTTAAAGATATACTTAGAAAATAACTATAGCTTCTATTCATCTCTCTTCTATGAGTAACATACAGTATTTTCTTTAGCATTAATTTCCATTTAAGCTGCTGCATCTTTTAGGGGAAAAAAATGTTTTAACAAAAGTTTCCAGTCCTTCGGCATTTACAGCATCCTTTGGTAAATGGTCACAGTTATTTGCCATCATGAGTAAAACTATTCCAAGTTTTATTACTAAAACAAGACTTTTTTTAATAACAATAAGCCTATTTAAATGGTATAAAGTAATACTGCATTTTAACACCCCTAGACTTTAAACTTAAAATATTAAACAATTGTAATTAATTCAATAATCTTTATAATTAATAAAGATTCAATATTTTTAAAACAATAGAAGTTTACTTCTAAAATTACAGAGGAAGTCACATTAAAAGAAAGGAAGTAACTAAGCTGCTGTTGTGATATTTTAAAACACTCCTCCACTATCCATCCCTACCCTTAAGATTTTCATCCTTTTGCAGCTTTTGCTATGGGGCATGTCCTGAACAACACCTCTCACAACTGAATCAAAAAAAATATTCTTCCAGCTCTGAAGACAGAAATAGGCACCTCCATCAATTGCCTCCAAGGTGGAGGAAAAAAAAAAAACCAAACACACATACAGAAAGAAAAGTAACTGTAGGTATTATTTTCTGAGAAGAACAAAGCAAAATAAAACTATCTGAAGACATTTCCTGACTGGGGGTGTTATAAGAAACAGGCATTATGTTGTTGTTCTTTGAATAAATGCACTAACTTCTTTGGAAGGATTTTATTATGGCTTTGTCTAAAGGCTAACTATAAATTAAAACCCGCCTGGATGCAGCTCTGTGCCACGTGCTCAAGGTGACCCTGCGTGTGCAGGGGAATTAGACTAGATGACCTCTGAGGTCCCTTCCGACCTTAAGCATTTTATGATTCTATGATTCTAAATACATATTCAGCATCATTACAGACACTTTTGTAGGGGAGCACATCACTTCTTGACCTCCACCTCAAGCGGCGAAGTAGGCTAAAATCAGAACTTTTCAAGACTAAGAGATGTTTTTCGATGACGCAAACTTAAACTGCTCCTTCCTACACGCTACTCAAATTACATCCATTACATCCTGAGGTCTGAGCACACTACTACAAAATCAGCCACATACGTGAGAAACAATCGTCACCCTCCTTCTCTGCCCTTGGTATATGCTTCAAATAGACCTTTGCTAGAACAAGTTAACTTATGCAGGAAATACATTTGACTGGCTTCTACAGGTCCAGAGCATTTCTAAAACACGAAAGTAAAACAAAACAAACCTGCCCACTGACTTCAAGAAACTAAAGAAATGAAGCAGCAGTTACCTCTGAGAGGGATGCATCAACCTTTGACGGCACCTTCAGGTCCAGCCACGGCTGATAGTTTTCCAGAAGCAAAGCTGGCCTGTAGGAGAGCGCAGAAAAGCTAGAATAACAATCTTTCATTGAAAGTTTCCTACTGCCACACACAGAACACCATCCATTTTAAGGTTACCGGTGCCATGTATTTAACTTACCTGTGTCTCTTGCATTTGACCTTGCCACAGACAGCACAACTGTGACCGTGGGGAAACAGCTCCGGGAGTTCTAATTGCTAAGAGAGAACATTTGGACGGGTTTTAGTCCTCAAAAAGCAAAGCTTCCTTCATAGAGTGGTACACGAGTAAATTTGGTTTTCTGTATACAGAAACATATAACAGTGTGTGTGTATATATATATATATATATATACATAATATACATACATACACACACACTGTTATAGAGAAAAGAATAGTATAAAGACAAAGTTGTTTCCCCAGCAAGAAAGCAAGATAATGAGGAACACACTGCCTGCCTTCTCCAAACACCTACCCATACATCACTTAATCTCTTAAGAGACATGATCTTTCTCTACAGATCTCACCTCACTCATAGCTTTGGACCACACTAACTACAACCCTTTTAACTGCACATTTAAAAAAGAAAAATGGGAAACAAAGGAAAAATAGGAGGTAATTAGTATACCATTTAATCAAGTATTGCACACCACCTGCTCATGAACTGCCAAAAGTGAAAAATCAGTGGATGGTTAGAAAATAGCATCCATATATGCTCCCAGAGGAAATCTTCACAGACATGTCAGTTTGATGGGGCTTTGCATGAGCGTATGAAATCCCCAGATCTTATTCATCATATGAGTGTACTCGCTATAAGGTAGTCCTTAATAAGTGGATATTCACTGCGTTTATGTCATATTTTAAAAGCAGAAAGAGTTAGACAAAATTTACTACCAATATCTACTGTGTAGAAGGGATACAGGGCTGACAGAGCGTCACAGCTATGGCCATACCTACCTTTAGCCATAGCTGCCTTTAAAAACAATGCTTAAAGAACACGTGAAACCAGGAAGAGGCAGTGTTTACCTTAGATTCATATTTTATAGTGAAAGGATATTTGGATGAAACCACAAAAGGAGCATCATCTACCTTAAGTTCATATTTTATAGTGAGAATACGTGGCTGAAACCATGATAGCGCATAATTTACCTTAGGTTTATATTTTATAGTGAATATGTGGTTGAAACCACAAAGCGGCATCATTTACCTTAGGTTTATACTTTATAGTGAACAGGATATTCGGCAGCAGGGAATCCGGTCCCAGCGAGCAGTAGAAGGTGACGACGCCGGCCACGAACGACCAGAAGACCATGAGAACGTGCAGATACCTTCGGGGGGAGGGAGGCAGCGCGTTACCCCGCGGGGAAGCGCCCGTTCCCGTTCCCGCTCCCGCTCCCTCCCGGCCGGGTCACGGCTCCCGCCCGAGCGCCGCGCGCGGCCGTTACCGGTTGAGGAGGAGGGTGGCGGCGCCGAGCGCCAGCAGCAGGCAGCAGAACAGCGGGTACTGGCGGCAGGCCTCGCGCAGCGCCTCGGCGCCCC